CTCACTGCTGTCTTGAGGGGGACACCAACAACCTGCAGTCACAATGCCTGAAAACTCTGATTGAAATTCCCTGCCAGAGCATCTTTCCTTAGCACTCTCCCACTTCCTCTGGACCTCCCTAAAGGCTTGATCAAGGCCTGCTGGATGGCACTGACCCCAGTCCATCTCTCCAGACAGCATCTGTGGGCCCTGGGAAACAATGCTCTTTGTCACGAGGAAGGTGTGGTGGGACATCCCCTACCTGTCCCTCAGACCCCATTGTGGTCTCAGGAATGTTCACTGGGTCTCAGCCTTGGTCAGTGGGTCCTGAGACTGGACATGGGCCCTGTGCCTGCCCAGGGAAACATCCCTGAACATTTGGCAGAGAGTGCTGGGTGCTGCCAGTGCCCTCCCCTGCTCCCAGCTCCTGCACTGGCCATGGAGATGCCCCCAAGCTGAGCAGGTCAGCATGGGGTGGAGCTCATCAGGGGTGCTTTGACTTGGAGGTGTTTCAGTTTCATGGAGCACAAAAGCTGGTTTGCCATGTGAGGACTCTCCTTCATCCACTTTGAGGAGCTGTGGACAATGAGCTCACAGGACTGTTTGCCTGTAGAACAGCTTTTTTCTTCAGAGAAATGAAAGCCTGCTGGGGAATGGCCTGGTTTACCTAGCTCATGCTCCAAGTGTATTCTGATCATCTGAAGGTCACGCTGTGTGGTCTCATATGTGTTCTGGAAGTTTTCCTGCAGAGTTTGAATTTGTTTGGAGATTTCATGGTGGTCCTTCTCCAGCCTGGATTCTAAGGTGCTTGTTTTTTCCTCCACTGTCTCTCCTGAGAAGAAAGAATATTTTCACTGGGACAAAGTCATGGTTTTCTTGAAGGGGAAGCCATTGATCTGTAATGACAATGACCAAAAGCTCTGATATAAAATCCCTGTCAAGGCATCTCTTAGGGCTCTCTTAGGCTTCTCCCCCTCCCTGTGGGTCTTCCTAATGGCTTGCCCAAGGCCTCCTGGGAAGCATGAAGGCAGGAATGATCCCACTCTGTCTCTCCAAAGAGTATTCTTGGGAGGTAATACTCTTTGGCATGAAGATTGTGTGGTGCCACAGAGCACAAAAACTGTTTCCCCTGTAAGGGCTGTCTTTCCCCATCCCCCTTGAGGAGATGTGGTGGACAAGTTCACAGGACAGTTTTCCTGTAGGACAGCCTTTGCCTTCAGAGGAATGAAGGCCTGTAGTGGAAATGCTTCTGCTCACCTAGTTTGTTCTCCAGGTCTGTTCTGGTCATTTGAAGGTCACGCTGTATGGCAAACTTCATGTTCTGGAAAGTTTGCTTCAGAGTTTGAATTTGTTGGGAGAGCTGCAGGAGGTCCTTCTGCCATATGCATGCTATATTCCCTGTGACATTTGCCTCCACTGTCTTTACTGCAAAAAAAGACTGGTGTCACTGGGAAAATTATTTTTCTCCCTTGAGGTGAGGTCTTGTCCCAATAATGACACAAAACTTCCATCTTAAAAAGGACCGAGGAGATGTTGTTCTTTCACTCCCTTCTACAAGGGAGAAAAGAGGGACCTTGGCCATCTCCAGTTGCCACCTCAGCATCAAAGGTGTTCCACATGACTGGGACATAAGAGCTGCTACCAAGGAAGTTCTGCCCATTCTGATAAAAGGCAAAGGATTAACTCACAGATCAGTTTACCTGTAGAGCCAGATTGACCTTCAGAGAGATGAAGGCCTGCTGGGGAATGGCCCTGCTCACCTAGTTCATCCTTCAGGACTGTTCTGATCATCTGAAGGTCACGCTGTGCGTACACCTGGGTGCTTTTAAAAGCTTTCTGCAGAGTTTGGACTTGTTGGGACACTTCTTGGAGGTCTTCCTTCCACACAGATTCCAAAGTGTTTGTAGTATTTGCATCTATTGTCAATCCTATAAAGAAAGAACAGTGTAATTGGGACACTCTCATTACCTTATTGAGGAAGAGAGAGCAGTGTCCTGATTTAAATTCACTGCCCGAGAATCTCTTCAGGTTTTCCCTTTGAGTATTCTTGATGAAAAAAGCTATTCCCTACTTCTCCATCTGCTTTGAGGAGCTGTGGTGGGCAATCACATGGGACAGTTTGAGGGATTTGGGTTAATGCTGCCTGTAGAGCATCTTTTGCCTCCAGGGAGGAGGCCTGCTGGGGAATGGTCCTGCTCACCTAGTTCCTTCTTCAAGTCTGTTCTGAGGAGCTGAATATCATGCCGTGTGGACTCCTGCTCATTCTGGAAAGCTTCCTGCAGAGTCTGAATTTTTTGGTAGAGGTGCTGGTGTTTCTTCAGCCAAACAGTTTCCAGGGAGTCCACTCTCCTTCCTGTGAAAAAAGACTGGCGTCACAGAGATAATGATTTTTTCTTCCCTGAGGCAAGGTCTTGTTCCACTAGTGACGTAGGCCTTTCCTCCTAGAAAAGACCAGGAAGGTGCTGTTCTTTCACTGCCTTCAAGGACAAGGGAGATAAGAGGGACCTTGACCACCTCAAGTTGCTGACTCAGTAATCAAAGGTGTTCCACTGGCATGGGACATAAGAGCTGCTCCCAAGGAAGTTCTTCACAAGGCACACACTCCTAGGACTAACTCACAAGTCACTCTGATTGTGGAGCAGAGTTTGCTTCCAAAATTATAAAGGCCTGGTGGGGAATGACCCTGCTTACCTGTTTGTTTTTTTCCTTTTTCTTTCTTTATGCAGGGAGGGCACAAGAAATTCAATTCAGTTTCCTCATGTCCTGCCTATTTCTAATTTACACTCTCCAGATTTCTCTTTCCTCAGACAATCCTTTCTAATTCAGCAGCCTTGGAAAAGAACTGAGCCCTGAAAAATAAAGATAGGTCCCCCATTCTGTGGGCACTGGACTAGGTAAATGAGACTTCTCCCCAGCCATGGCTGCAGAGGCAGAGATCTCTGGACAGGCCCTTGCCAAGGTGGGAGGCACCACTAACACTTCTAGGAAAAAAAGTCCAGATCTGATAAATGAGTTCCACTGGAAGTACTGGGGAGAACGAGACTAATGGAGGCAGAGGAAGGGACCCTTCTAATTGACCCCAGGAAAAGTACCCCGATCCCATCCTCCTTCCTCCTCTTGCCTGTAGATACCATGGTCCACCCAAGGTCTCAAATGCACGTGGAGGCATCTCCCTTCTGCCTCTGGATGACAGATGGCAAAATTCTACCTGCAGGACAACTCAGAATTTGAGCTGAGTGGAAGCTAATATATCTGTGAACCAGAAGTAGACTACATGGTATTTCATCGTATTTGTCAGCGAGTAGTCTTACAAGAGGCTGAGAAATTACATACTGCAGCCTCACTTCTAATAACATGAGGTTCTGTGAACCAGGAGGCCTTACCTTGAAATATCAGAACAGAACCAGCAGCCAATGTGAGAAGGAATAAAGAGAGTTGTATCCATGAGGCAGAGATCCACTGAGATGCACCTGGAAAAATAGAACCTTTGGGAAAAAAATCTGAGTGTCATCTGGCAATGTTCAATCTTACCCTTAAACTTAAGCACCCACTCAAAGAGATTTTGTGGAGATATATGGAGAAATAGTCACAGTCCTGTACAGGTGGTCAGAGCCTGCCTTCCCTTGAGATGTCACATCCCTAGGGGCAAGAGGGACCCTGCTCATTTCACACTGCAGCCTGTCCTGCCTGCACCACCGTGGTGCTCTGGGATGGGTCTGGCTGGACTGGAGAGCTGTTGCCTTCCCTGGCACTGGAAAGGGCCTCACAGAGCTCCTGAGACAGTCCAGCAAAGACTTCTGGGGACAATGGGACTCACCTGAGATGAGCATGGTAGTTTTCTTCTCCACCTGCACCAGGGGGGTCAGGATTTGACAGGTGAATTTTCCCACTTGCTCTCCTGTAACTGTGACTCGACTACACACGCTGAAGAACTTCTCACTGTCCTGGTTACTTTCAGTGTCTGCAGAGAGCCCCTGCCCATCCTCAGTAACCCACTGGACAACAAGTTCAGGAAAACATCTATGTGATCTGCAACCAAGCTTGAGCCCTTGCCCTTGGGGGCCTGAGTTTCAATGGACACTTCACCAGTACTTTAAAGACAGGAGAATTTGTAAGTGGAAGAAGTTTGTTTCCTTGAAAGCAGCTCTTCCTTTGATTCACAGCTCTTTCTTAACCCAAAGTTTCCTGACAGTTTCTGTCAGTCCTTCACACAACCTTTTCATTGATCTTTCTGTCATCCCGCACTCCATCTGCCATAAATGCCAAATTTCCTTTGGCTTAGAAAGAACTATGGTGTTTGCTGCTCAGCTCCCCACTATTTCATGGAGCAGGTAGGGAGAAGGTGTGTGGTTTGTATTCTTCTTTTGGAATGGCTCTGTAGGACCCCTGTCCAGTTTTGAGGGTTGGTAAAGCAGGACACAGCACAGTAAAGCCCAGGCACCTCCCCATTCCATGCTGGAACTACAGATGGGCACAGATGGTCACTGGACTGCACCAAAGCTTCACCAGTGTGATAAGATGGAATGCACCACACATATTTCAGTGTCATACTCTTGGTTAAAGCTGGATTTCATAGGAATTTGTCCTGTGTAGTAGTAGGAAATGGGTGCTGTCTTGCAGCTTTTTCTCTCTCCTCTCCCAAAAGCATCTCTAATCCCCTTTGGATGAAGGGATTTAGATTTGATTTTAGGAAGATATTCTTGACTAAGAGTGAGGCTCTGGCACAGCTTGCCCAGAGCAGCTGTGGATGTTGCACCCCTGGAAGGGTTCAAGGCCAGGTTGGTCAGTATTTGTTCCTGCCCATGGCTGGGAAGTTCAAATGAGAAATTCTTTAAGGTCCATTCCCACTCATGCCATTGCCTGATTCTAAGATTCCCTGATTCCGCCATTCTGTGCTTTTCTTCAGCAGTGACTCAAGGTTGATGAGCTCCATCTGATGTTATCAATATCTGCATACAAATGATGCTGACTGTCCAGCTGGGGGGAACTGGCAGCACAGAACATCTCCTTAGCCCTTACCCCAGCTGAGAAGTCACAAGATGAAGGGCTTCATTCCCATCAGTCCCACAGCCAGGGATGCTGAGCACTTGGATGTCTGTCAGGTGGCCTCACGCCTCCCCACCAGGGATTATTACAGCTCCATGTGGGTCAGAACAGGGCTTGGGCTGGGCATGGAGGTTGCAGAACATCTTGACAGGTGGCCCATGCTGGGAGTGGGGAGCGGACATGTTGGGTCATATGAGGGGCATCAGCTGGGGGACAGTGTCATTTTGGAGAGCTCTTTTCCCTCTGTAAGAGCTTCCCTCCTTCCCTACCCGGCCCAGAAAGTCTCCAACCTGCAATGCTGAGCTTGGTAGGCGTATCAACAATCTGGTCCCTGGATATCACAGTGCAACTGTACATTCCTTCATCTGCTGGCTGGATGTTCTTCAGTGTCAGGGAGACATTCCCAGTGTCAAATCCATCTCTTGGCACTGATGTCTGTCCATGGTATTTCTGCATTGATTCACCTCCAAACTGCCTGTATGTGTAAATGTCCTCTCTGTGCCCATCTGTGATTTTTCTTCACTGCACCAAGATATGGTGCAAGGAGGATTGTATCTTGACCAACAATTCTAACTACATTCTCAGGAGAGGTGAGCTCAAAATTGTCTGTGGGTGAGCATCTGGCTGAAATCAATCAGAAAAGGCAGTGGTATGAAGGAAACAGCTCTAGGAGTAACAGCAGGGAACAACTGAAAGTAATAGATTAGAGGGAGAAAACAGGATGATATAAGATGTACAGGATGGGATTATTTGGGGGAAAAGGAAAAAAAATAAATGCATAAAAGCATGTCCAGAGCCATTTCATGCAGCTCCCCAGCTGGCCTTCCCCTTTTGCAGCCTGTGTCACCAGCAGCAAGGCGGCTGTGACAATGCCAACTGCCCATGCAGACAGGGAAATGCCCCTGGCATTGGGGCAGAGCTGGACAGGGCACAGATGTCTTGGCTTAGGTCTTCCCTGGCTTCCCCAGGGGAGAGAACCTCTGACTTCAAACAGCTGTAATCCCCAAGACCAGAGGGGCAGGGCAGCTCTGGCCCTTGTGGAGTTGAAATCAGGGCTGCTCAGGAGACCAAGACCCTCAGCTCCAGGACTCCTGATCATCTGCAGGCTGGAATCCCCCAGAAAGGAGCAGAACAGCTCATGGAAGCATTACCTGAGAAAGCGATAGCCAGAAGCAGTGGCAGAGCCAGCAGCAGCCATCTTCTCTGCTTCATCCCTGCAGTCCAAGGGGTGGGATAATCCCGCAGCTGACGTGGAACAGGCACAGAAGGGAAGTGAGAAAAGAAGGGAAATCCTGTCCCAACCCCTTTGGATCTCTCTCCTGGCACTTTTCACCAGATGTGACTCCTGAACGTGCCAAATCTTGAACAGCTGAGATCAGAAATCAAGAAAACTTCTGGAGATCTCAATTACACTTTCAGTTTCTAGGAATTTCAATCTAGCATTTTCCCGGGAAGCTGTGACAGGGAATGCAAGAGAAAGCTCCACCCAGTCCCTATTTCCTGCTGTGAAATTTAATGGACACTTTAACACACCAGTTTAAATTTTGGGTTGGAATCATAGTATCACAGGCTGGTTGCCTGGGAAAAGAGACCAACCCTCACCTGACTACAGTAGGTGTAGAGTGTGATGAGGTCTCCCCTGAGCCTCTTCTACAGGCTAAACAACCCCACCTCCCTCAGCTGCTCCTCACAGGACTTGTGTTTCAGACCCTTCATGAGCCTTATTGCCCTTCTCTAGACATGCTTGAACATCTCAACATTCTTTCTAAATTGAGGGGCCCAGAACTGGACACAGAACTCAAGGTGTAGCCTCACCAGTGCCAAGTACAGGGGAAGAATCACTTCCCTGTTCCTGCTGGCCACACTGTTCCTGATCCAGGCCAGGATGCCACTGACCTTTTTGGCTATGTGAGCACACTGCTGGCTCACATTCAATCAGCTGTTGACCAGTTCCCCAGGTCCCTTTCTGCCTGGCTGCTTTCCAGCCACTCTGTCCCCAGCCTGTAGTGCTGCAGGAGTTGTTGTGGCTGAAGTGCAGGACCTGGCACTTGGACTTGTTAAACCTCATATTGTTTGATTTGGCCTATCTATCCAGCCTGTCCACGTCCCTCTGCTGAGCCCTCCTACCCTCCAGCAGATCAATGCTCCCACACAGCTTGGTGTCATCTGTAAATCTGCTAATGGCAGACTCGATCCCCCAGTCTAGATCATCAATAAAGATATTGAACAGGACTGGGACCAACATTGATCAGAGCTGTGACAAGAAGTTTTCCTCCATACACTCTAAGAACCTCCTGGACTGCTGCTTCTCTACTGTGTTAAGTTCCCAGCAGACATCTTGCAGGTTAAAGTCTCCCACAAGAGCCACGGACTGGTGATCCTGAAACATCCTTCAGCTGCTTATAGATTAGTACATCCACCTCTTCATCCTGGCTGGGTGGTCTGTAACAGACCCCCACCAGGCTGTTGGCCTTCCCCCTGATTCTTACCCATGGGCACTCGACCTTATCATCATTAATCTCAAGTTCCATGGTGTTGAGAGCCTCCCTAATACACAGAGCCACCCCTCCACCTCTTCATCACCTGTCTCTTCTGAAGAGCTTGTGGCCACTTATTGCAATACTCCAGTCATGAGAGTCATCCCACCACATTTCCATGATGGAGACTATGTCAGCTTTCCCTCTGCACAGTGGTTTCCAGCTCTTCCTGTTTCTTACCCATGCTGCATGCACTGGTGTACATGCACTTAAGCTGGGCTGCAGATTTCACTCCACCCTGCCTTACCACCCTTGGGCTTCTTTCTGGAGAGCCTAGTTTCATCCCCTTATCCCTTTAAACCTAGTTTAAAGCCCTCTTAATCAGCCCTGCCATGAACATAGCCCTGCCATGGGAACATAGGTCTAAAAAACTCAACACAACAGAAAACAATCACACAAAGGCAGAATTTCTCCATCCCTCTAAGCTTCACGTTTAGCCCTGCTAAAGAGACACATGGGGATAGAGAGCAAATAAGGGCAGGAATCAGTGCTACAGCAGGGGAGGGGAAATGGAGTGAGTTTGACACTGACTCTGCAACACCTGTCAGATCCACAAAGATCCCTGAACACTGTGAAATTATGAAATTAATTATTTTAATGGGTAAACAAAGACAATGCCATGATGACCTGAGGCTTGCTGCTTATGAATTGGTAACCTCAATCACTCAAGGTGCTAATCAGGAAATTTTAAGCTTAATACTGTATAAGCAACTGACCCATGGGTGCTCTGGGAGATATCCTGAGTTATCATAAAATCAAGGCAGTTTCCCAGTGTTTCAACTTCCAACAGGAAAGAGTTCCAAGCAGTCATACTTGGAACCAGCCTCACTTACCGAGAAGGAAGTTCCAGCATTATCATTAGTCCTACTTTGCCTCAAGGTCCTGCCCTAAGGGGGTACCCTGGGTCTACCTGTCCTCTCCAGAGGGGGAATTCTCTCCTGCTCCCCTGAACAGCAGCAGCACAGTCATTGGGAAACAAACATCAGACTCAGAGGGCCAGTCCATATGTCAGCTTTTCCCCCAAATGAACATTCCCCATAACTTTCATTTCCTCTCTGAGCCCTTCCGGGAGCTGCTGTGCTGCTGATGCCCCCAGTTCTTGCCACCTGCACCTGAGGGGACCTGGAGGATGGGAAGACCTTGCTGATCCCTGTGTGCACAGCTGGGATGAAGGGAAAAGATCCGTTCCTTTCCAGCCCAACAGCAGCACCACATTCACCACTTGCTCAGGAGAGAAAGAAATAACAGAGCTCTGCTTACCTGCCTTGGTCAGCAAAGAGGAGCACTGATATCAGACAGGTATTTTTCCTCTTGCCAGAGAAATTTCCAGCGGCAGAAGGGAAGGAAAATGAACAGACGAATCAGATCCTGAAGTTTAAATGTGGTGTGTTTTTGCCTAAAACTCACTTTGCTTCTTGCAGGTCAAATCTCATCTGCTATATGAGGGCTTTGTGTTGGTGACGCAGACAGTAACATGCAAATGGAGCTTTCAGTTTCGATGAGAGCTTTAAGATAAGCAGAGATCCAGCTCAATGCCCACAAAATATGCCCTGTTTTAGAGCTAGAGCTGGATTTCACCTATTGTCAGGTAAGAATGATTGCCACATCTTCAGGCTATAGAAGAAAGGTGAACTTTGATCAGCTCCTTAAGGAAGTAACTTTGAAGAATTAAACTGAAATGAAGCTGGGGATTAACTTGGGGTGTGACTCTGTTTGAAGATCAAGGATCATTCTTCTGTAAGATTGATATTTTCGTTGACAGGTTACCTAGGAAATGGAGGTGGGGTTGTCCTGGGACTTCACAGTTGCCCTTCAATGAAACCAACTTGAAATGGGAGCAATTGTTTTTCTAGAGAATGACATCTGAAGTACTCTTGAATTCCGACTCAACTTTCCCCTTAGTGTTACTTCTCACAGCTGCTTCTTCCTCCAAAGTCTGTAAACACACTCTAGTAAACCTGTTGGTCCCTCTCCTCCTCCTGGCTACATGCAGGGGCTCCCTGGTTGTGATCATAGGATTCTCTGCTTACTTCATGTAAAAGAAATTGTGGTTTTCTTAAAAACACAAATCCTTTCAGTAGGATCAGGAGTATGATCACTTTCATTCTGTCTAGGAAATAGATAGGTGGAGATTGGGGAAGCTGAGTGGAGGAAATGAGAGTGAACATTATCTTAACAGTGTGCTTATGTTTTAATTTTATTCTTTCATCCTAGGGTCTTCAGTTTAGGCTTAGATTACTGTACTCAATTTAACACCTCCAGAGCATACTCTGCTTTTTCCAAGATTTGTGAATTCCAAGTTCTTATCTTAAAATGAATCACTGTCAAAAACACTTCAAAAACCTAATATATCTGAACACAGGGTATCTTATTTTTAAAAATAGCATGACAAGAATTCACCAATGGGCTCCTATAGTCAAAATCTATAGTCAAATATGGTTATACAATTACATTTTTCTCAAGTTCAGAGTACATCTTCTGGGATGCCACTTTCACTGAAGTCTTCATTACTTCAGTGCTGGTTACTGGAGCACCTTGACTAAGCTGTTACCACCCAAAAAATTCCATTGTGGGGAAGAGGTCATACATGAGCCACAATTTATTCTCAAATCAGGGTTTTACTGTAGCAGGTCCCCATTCAACCTTTTTTTTCATTAATTTAAGGAAAACGAGGTAGCCACTTCAGAAAGAGATAAGAGGGGCAGGATTTGGCAGCAGATGAAGCAGTGGCAGACCCTACCCTAGTCCCTGCTTGGGGACCCTGATAGTATTACAATTCCACCACCGATTTAAAAATCATGTGATAGCCAAGATTCTTTGCTTTCACAGAAAAATAAGACTGGGGTCTTCCTTAAGAATTAAACTCATGTTAGATGCAGTTGTTTCTGTGACACAGGAGGCAGGAAAGCATAAATGGGGTGGGTTTTTTTCACCTCTTGGTTTAGGGCACCTTGAAGCTGCAGTGAGGGAGTTGGGCTGAACTGCAACACCAACATCAACAGGGTCTCAGGGGACTGGGCTCCTCCAGGCAGCAAAATGCTGTTTCCAACCCAGCCTCAAGTGAACCAGGCTGATGGAAAAGCTCCTGCTAAATGTTTGAAGCAGAGGCCATTTTCTACAAAATTTCTGTTTCAGCACTGGAATATTTCACATGCTAATAATAATTAAGACATTCAAACATCTCTGGAAGACACAAGCTTGAGTGCCAATCAATAAAATCTTACTTGTGAGCTTACACGAAGCATTGAATAAGTTGCAACAAGTTGCCTGGAAATTTACCAGGTACATTTATTTAAAACAAATAAATTTAAAAATACATATATTCTATTAGTATTTTGAGGCTTCCATATATATAAAAAAAAAAAAAGAAAAAAAAAAGAAAAAAAAAGCTTTGATTTTGTCAGCATCGCTTTATCTGCAGATTACAAAACCTGGGGAAAGACCAGTAGAGATAATTTTGTTAGCATTTTCCAAACACCAAGCCATCACAAAATTCTATGCAAGCTTAACATGCAGTAGTCAGAGCTGCTTCCAGCCTAAACAAATTCAGCCTCCTTTCATTAACACAGTTTTTGTCAATCTTGTGTATTATTGTCAAGGCTACAAGTTTTCCCAATTTCCCAAGAAGACATTTAAGTGCACAATAAAATCATATCTGCACACAAACTATGCTTGAAACTTCAGTAATTCCTGTAATAGGAATTTGAAATTATGCAGACTTCTGTGGGCTCACAATGCTCCAGAACAGGATCAAGCCAAGTCCCTGCCAGCCTGCAGCTGTTTATCAACATTTCTGAGTTTGATTTAAATATAATCAGCTCAGCCCAGCTGACAGCAGTTCTTAGTTGAACTATCAACTTTCTGCATTACCAGAAAAGCTGAGAGTGACAAGGCCAGTCCTACTCCAGCCCAAGAGTGAACCAGGCAGGACAGATCACACAGGGCTAAGAAATTCTTCCTGCCATCTCTAAAGAAGTGGAGGCAGCAAAATGAAAATTTTGAGGCTCCTCAAGTCAATGTTGCGAACAGTTCTAGTGCTGTTTTCACCTCAGTTACTGGTTCATTTCCTCCTGTATCTTCTTTCAAAAGGATGAATAATGTTTCAGCCTAAAGAAAAAAAAAAAAGAGAGATTTAAAACTTCTCAGTAATCTTTTGAGGGAACAACACAAAGAAACAATAGCTCTTCAGCAGTGTCATTGAGTATCTTCAGATAATTTGAAACATAGATGTCGTAAAAGATAGCAAAGATCCACCTGCTAGAATAACTTAAGTGCCATTATAATATGTAGTTCAATTTCAAATAAACGACAAATAACAAGATTTATACATATTTACAAATATTTCTATAAAATTTCCCTGTCTGTCTTGGTAAATCATTAAAATCTCATCTTAAAGTTAATCCGTTTTTCAAGCACCATGAAGTTGGGAGTGTAAACAAAAATATTCCTGCTTAAAGTTAGCCCTGCTCCTCACCCCTGACCACACCAGCAGGAGAGGAAAATCAGAAGGTATGCAAACAGGATGTATTGCATAATCAGAGAAACAATAAGGGCTGCTCTCCAGCAGGGAAAGCCAGCTCCACACCCCAGTAATTAATCACGTGTAATGCAGATCAGGAATCACTTTATCACTTACAGCCATCTGTTCCATCTTACAGAACATAAACATGGTGTCTGGGATTAATTTAGTACCTACCTAAATAACAAAGCTTTGCCTTTGTTATTTGCTATAGAGAAATATCCACTTCTGGGAGAGAAGTCCATAGATTGAGTAAGATAAATCTGTTTTCTTCTGAACACTGGGAAGTTTGAGAATACAGTGTATGAAGGAAGGTGCACCTATTGAGAAATAGATCAGAATTTAAGGTTTGTAAAAAAAAAACCCACTGAAAATAAAATTAAACTACGAATCCATAGTTGAAGCTCAATGTTAAGCTCAAATGTTCAGTTATGATTCTACATACAGAATTCTGCTGGGGAAAAGGAGCAGGGAACACATCATGGAACCAATTATTGCAATTCTCAGACCTACAAATCCTCAGGTTAATTCAACAGTTCCACTGTTGGCCAGAATTCTGACAAGGCTGGCAAAAAAAAACCCCATAATACTATTGTTACAGTTACCAGCTGCTGAAAACTCACATTTGTTGCTGAGCTATATTTACAGCTCTGAAATTGAATCACAGACTGGGAAGGGCTGGGACACCTTCCACTAGACCAGGTTGCTCCAAGCCCTGTCCAACCTGGTCTCTAACACTTCCAGACACTTTAGAGGGCATTTTAAAAAGGTAAAAAAGGTAAACTAAACTACAAAATCTTATTTTTCAGAGTAACTTTACTAAAGAAGATAAAATTACACTCTTGTAAATGCAGAGTGTCTTGGCCATGTCTGATCTGGTTGGTCTAACACTTTTTGCAGTATCTTAACTGCTTAATATAATTTTTTTTATGTCACTAGCAGTATTTCTAGCAAGATACAAAAGAAATATTGCAATAAAGCAGCTGAACATACCAATTTGACAGCCTCATCAGTGTCACGGGAAGCCACTGCCAAAATCTCTGTGGTGGGATTAAAAGTCACACAGGTAGCAGAAGTAACAAGGTTCATTATGGCCTTAACTGGTTTAGGATGGTTTTCTTTGAGGCAGGCATCAGTGGTGTATAAATTTACAACTCCAGAAGATGAACTAAAGAACAAAATGAACAAAGATTAGAAAAGTATTATTCCAGTATATACTGTCTTGTTATCTATAGCCACTACTCACCTATAAACATAATTTCCAATTATTTACTGGCGTGTGCAATAATATTTTGTTTGGAGCTTGATTTGCCTTTGGAACTTACAACAGTATTTAGTGGAGGAGTTTAAGTTTTTGCTGGATTGGATTTTCTTTTTTCTTATATAATAAGAGACTCAACTGTGGGGAGCCTTGATGAGCCCATCTCTTACCAGGATGAATTGAAAGCAAGCAGAGTTTGGTATCAAAATATTCTAAAATAACTTCAAGGTGGGGGTTTTTTTGGTTTTGTTTCATAATTTAGCAAAGCTCACTTTAAAATCCTCTTCTACAATGAGCTAGGAAAATATATATTGTATTCCTTTATTTATTTACTATTCTCATTTAAAGAATCCAGACCCTGGCTGAAACTGCATCTGAGTAAATTTGGAGAAACAGTTTCAGCTTGTGGCTTTAAGTTGAGGCCACTTTTGAAAGGCAAATATGGTGCCTTGCAGAAGCCAAATTCGGAGTACAGGGAAAAGAACTAGAAAAGGGAGAAGGCCTTGAATCAACATTCCTGTTATAGAATTTGTGATTTTAGTCAGGGTGATTTCAAAATTAACTGCTGAACCCATACATGGCAATAATAATACTAGTATCAGTCCTATTGTTTTAGGTGTACTATGGTATATTTATACAGAGAAAAGCAAATTATTACCATAAAATAGGGAATATTAATCTATTTATGTCTACTCTAAGCTTATTAGAACCAAACCATGTTCCTACACTCGCACCAGCTACCCATAGGTTCACTGAAGAACTTCAAAATGATAGCAGAAGCAGCTGTCAAAGTTCAGTCACTTACCCACATGCCACATACTGGTTATTTTTTGAAATAGCAATGCACTTTCCTTCCAAACAACCTTCATCTTCAAATTTGTGTAGACACCTTCTGCTTCTCACATCCCAAATGAAAACTTCGCCTTCCTCTGGTTGCAGAATGAGAGATGTTAGAGAAAACACACATACACATCACTTTGTTAGTACATTTTGATTAAAAAAAAATAATTAGATGACAACTAGAAGTTAATTTACAGCTATCAAATATAAGGTATTTAAAAAAAAAAACAACTATTAAAGGCACAATAAAATAGTTAATTCCATTCTGTAATGATTAAACACTTGGTTGTATTTTTAGGAGAGATACTAGCATAAATTTTTGAAATTATTTCTCTAAAACTATAAGTGACTTCTAAGAACTCATGCAATTTAAATGGAATTATTACTAGAGCTGCTGCAATACTCACTTGAATAGCTGTATATTTTACTGCTGTCTGGGGTGAAAGCAGAGGCAGTGCATCTTCCATTCACCTTCATAGTGCTGATCAGTTCTTTTGTCTGCAGGATGAAGAACAATGCTGGCAGAGATTCTACCAAATATCTACAGAAGAGTTGTTTCCTGTCCCACAAAAACCTTAAGTCATCTACCCTGAGATTCAGAGAACAGCACCAGCATTTTCAGTGCCTGCAGAGCAAAAGCTCCTGAGTCTAACTGCAGCTGGATCAACAAACACTCATTTGCTCCCTCACTGAAGGGCCTGAGTTATATAAAACTGAACTTTCTCCTTTAAAAGTATCTTTCCCTGTGAAAGTTTAAAACAAATCCACCTGCCATCATAAGGCATTTTAAAATTCAGCTGAAAGATTGCTCTATGCATTATGAATCAGTATTTGGCATGATTCATGAACAGAGTGCAGCAGCAGGCACTAGCATGACTCCCAAAAAAGCAGTCCTGTATTTCTTCCACCCCCAGGTGCCTGTTCCCATGCTGTTTCCATTCCTCTTGCCAGCACAGTGTTTGTGCAAGCAGCTGAAATACAGCACTGACACACAATTTCTTCAAGCTGAAAACCCCACAGAACTGCCCTGAGCTTCACCAGCCCCATGGAGCTGTGAAATAAAGTCTCAGAGAGTCCAAAATAATTCCCTAAAGCTGCAGTGGGTTGATTCCACAGCACATTTTTGAGGGCTGTTACAGTATGTGTCATACTTTGGCTTCAGCTGAAAGTTAGATTGCTTTGCAGATGAAATAAAAGCAGATTCAAAAGGGAAAAGGCACCAAGGAAGCAAAGCTACACAGACCATGCAGAGAAAGTACCTTCATGGACAGCAAGTGAAGGTACCCTGAAGTTCCAATTAGCAGCATAAATGATCCATCTGGAGAGAGTTCGAAGTTTCTGAGGAATTTTTCCTCCACACCTTTAAAAAGAGATTTGAAACTTGAAATTGGTGCAATTTATTCTTTGGCCTCAATATTTAGAGATAGGATGAATATGAATAAGACCTGATTCCAGCTCTTAATTTCTGCAATATGCTGTCACAGAGAAGCTGAACTCAACCTTGCTTGTGTGTGATAATTAATATCCCAGACAATTAACACTAAAGGTACTTTATTTCCTTGAAGATAAGTTAAAAATAAAACCTCCAACAAGCCACTCTACATTGTTTTAAAGCAAATTCATGTGCCATCTCTATTTCAGACAGCTTCAACTGTGCCCAGACACTCAGAGCTGCAAAACATACCTCGTACTTTTGGGACAGGGATGATACTCCCAGCCATCATGTCATACACAAAGAACATTCTGTGGTGAGTACCAGTGGCTATAACTTGTTCTCCATCCACACTGAAACGAGCCTTATAAATTGGAAAACTCTCTAAATAGATGCTCTGTATTTTTGGGTTCCTTATACCATCCACCTTCAAAAAAGAAAGTAACAAACCAGGTTGTTATATTGAGGAATATATCAAACACTTTTATAGAGAAAAATCATTATCAACTTCTCAGTTGAGACTTAAGTAATAAGAGGTACACCACTGTGAAGCCTTAAACTCTTCCCCTCTCCTACAAATAATCTGGTTCTTAGCTCCTTATCTGATGTAACTCTGCCTCTCTGATAGACCTCACACTTCTTGCTTTGTTCAAATAATCACTTCTACTGTGCTTTTTCTAAATGGAAACATCTGCTTTGATTTGGGTTTTCTTGTGGCTCTGTGAGACTATCACATTCCACTTGTCTGACCATTCCAGTGACCCTGGGCCATGCTAAGAATTCCTAAATTAAATTAGGATCTTTAGTTTTCAGAGGAGCCTGGCAGTGTCTCTGGATGAACATCTTCCTGCAGCACAGTCTCTCCATCCCCAACATGATTTCATAGCAATTTTACAGTCTCAAAGCAAAGTGGGCTGCTCCCCCCACTACAGGCTCTCCAAACCACTTAGCAACAAAAATCCTCATTAGCACTTGTCATTTGCAAACCTTCAAACATTTTTAAACACAAATCTTTGCCTAAAAACTCTGAGACAAAGTGTTTGCCAGTACTCTGCACATGCTTGGTGTGAAGTCACTGGTGGAAATTCCTTCCAAGATGCCTTTAACCAAGGAATTTCCATTGTAACCACAGACATTATGTAAGCCCTGACAGTGTGCAGAGGAAGACAGAAAACAAAGTCTACCATTCCAGGCTATTTCATGTACACTCAAAGAAAAGGTTCTATGTTAGTGACCATCAGCAGGTACAAACTGAAGCTTTCACCTGGAAGAGGGACACAGAGCGATCATGCCCAGCTGCCATCACCACTTGAGCTGAAGGATGAAACTGCACTGTCACCAGTTTTCCATTGGCAAAACGTTCCTGGTTTGCAGGAGGGCAGGTGCTCATCTACAACACAGATCAGACAGTTAAAAAAACCACCAACAATCACTCATGCTGAATAAAAAGCCATTTACTCTTTGCGCTTACAAGACCTCAAGCCCTGTGATGAAGTTCTGGGCAGTGTGATGTGAGCAGAGCACACACAGCCCATTCAGGGAGCTGCTCCAATATAATACAGGCTGAATTCACCAACCTTTCTATATTCACCAACCTTTCTATCTGCATTAAAACTGAATATAAAACCAGCTGCATTCTGACTCATCTGAGATAGCTGCAGGAGACAGTGTGAGAAATACTCATTTAAGGCTGTCTTCTTAAAGATCTTATCAGTCACTTCAATGCTGTAGGAGAATTCCATCCTTCTGCAGAAATTAAAATCCTACTACAAGATGCTATTTAGAGTGCAGAAAATTCTTATGTCAAACAACACACCTCAGTTTATTGTTTCATACTCTCATGTGAATTGTTCAATTTGCTTATCCTCTAAAGCTTCTAGTTGCAGAAACAAATTCAAAGAATCACTAATTTTATACACCACAAGAGTCAAAGTGTGCATTTAATCCAGCTGAAGTGGCAGGATAAGGTTTGTCTTTACCTTCAAAATCCCTCTTGGCAGAGACTCTGAGCTGGTTATGAAATTGCCAGTCCTGCGTAGCAGATCATCATCTTCATCAGTGTCACCTCATTAAACCAAAGCACGTGGAATCAGCTAATTGCACAAACACCCACAGCAAAATCAACACATTCCTCACTGAAATGAATTAAAGCACATTGAAGGAACAAAGCTGACATAGCCAGCATGTTATTACACCACTGAAACTAAGAGGACATCAAAAGTAATTATCTTCTAGCAAGCTGAATAGGGAATCACAGAAACTCTTATCAGAATAGCATTGGGAATATTTACTATCACTCAAAGTCCTTTTGGATTTCTTCCTGTTTTCTAGATCAGCCCAGGCAGGAACTCCTCCCATGGCATTCTGAAACCTTATGAGAAAAGGAGAAAGAGAAAAAAAACCATAACTTTTGTGAGACAGTAATTTCCTTCTATGAGTTAAGTATTTAGAAGAAGCACAGTCAGAATTTTGCAGGACTACTTGTACTTAGAACACAATGCAAGTTTTTTAATTTCCTAAAAAAAAAAAATTAAAATTTCATTGTTTCTTGCATAATTCCCTAGAAAACAAATTAGTTTGGGCACTTTGATATAAGTATTAAACAACTTAATCCAGACAATGCTAACGCACATTTAATTTACTATTTTTGGTATCATTTGTTATTTAGTAACACTACAAATACTGCAGGAAGCCCTGACTTTAAAGAGACCACATAAGCACAGTGGATAAAGAGTAAAGTGACTATGAATGTCACATAAATATATTTTAGCTTACAAAATTGTTGGCTTGGAAGGGAGACCATCCAGTCCAACCCCTCACTACAGCAGGGTCACCTGGAGCAGGTGGGAACATGTCCAGGTGTGTTTGGGATGTTTCCAAGGGAGACTCCACAGCCTCCCTGGGCAGCTGCTCCAGTGCTCTGTCAACCTCAATGGAAAAAAATTCTTCTTCATGTTGTGATGGAACTTTTTGTGTTTTAGTTCATGGTCACTGCCCCTTGTCCTGCTCAAAGTGCCACTGAAGAATCTGGCAACATCCTTCTGGCACCCAACTTGGAGAGCAATGATCATGAGATCAATACAGACAGCCACAAAAACATTAATGAAACTCACTGTTCCTCAAGTCTTTTCTTTAGTTTCTTCTTAGTAAGCGTTGTCTCGGCATCACTTTTCATTAAATCTTTCCTGTATTTATGGGTCATATCAACACTAGAGGAGAAAAACCAACAGAACACAAACACCGTTCAAACCAAGGCCGCTTACAAGCACTCCCAAGTGTAATACACAATTCCCATCACCTAACCTGAACTTACATTTCCTCAGCTTCGTCATCCTCATCCACCCAGGCGGGATTTTTGAGCAGTAACCCGCGTTTCGCTTTTTTCTTCACCCTCGAATCGCTAGAGTCATCCTGGAGGCCCTTCCCCTCTGCAGCAGCAACCTGAAACCAACCAAAGGGACCGTGTGACAGTGGCAGGGCCCGGAGCCCGGGCAGCGAGCAGGCTCTCGGCTGTGCCGTACCCGTCGGGGCCCGGCCAGGCGCCGCAGCAGCTCGTCCTCCTCCTCAGGGAGGCTGCCGCCGAACACCAGCTCCTCCAGCTCCCGCTCGGCGCCCGACGCGCGGCTCAGCGCCTTCAGGTGCCGGGCGCGCCGTGCTGCCTCGGTACCCGCGGCCTGATTCGCCACGGCCCGCAGCTGCTTCGCCGCCCGCTTCGGTTTCGCGGCTTTAGCCGCTCTGGCGCCTTTAGACGTTTTCTTGGCCGCCTTCATCCCGGGCGCTCTCCCGGGCGCTGCCGCCGCCCGCCCGCGCATGGCGCGCCACACCCGGAACCGGAACACGTGCGCTCGATCACGTGATCCCCAGCCCCCGCCCGCGATTGGCTTAGGACGCCAACACCCCCCCCATGTGACCGAGCCCGCCCCCAGCGGCGACCCGCGGTCACGTGACTCCTTTCCTCCCCTCCCTTCGCCCTCAGCTCCCGCCCACCCTGGGCCGCACCACTGCGAACCCGCGGGGGGGAATCCCCCACCCGGGAGGCAACAGGCGTCCCTCACCGGCTGCTCCTGGCCTTCCACCGGCACCTCCCCTGCGCATCGCCTCTCTCTGCCAGACACGGCTGCTCTTACACCCCGCAGTCCCTGCCTTGGCGCGGAGCGCCCACCTCCGGTAAGGAATGGTCTCGCCCAGCGTGGGGGGAGGAATATGGCAGCGGGGCCGCTCCGCGCAGCCCGACGGCGGCGGGGGCGTGTCCGCGCCTGCGCAGCCGCGCGCTCGTGTTGTTGATGTACCGGCGGCCGCCGCCGGTCCCGCTCGGCCCCGCTCGGCCCGCGGCGCTCGCAGCGGCCGAACCGCCCGGCCCGTCCCCGCCCCGCCGGGCCCGGCCCCCGCCGCGCCCCCCCGCCGCGCCCCGCCCGCCGCCGCCCGCGCGCGGAGGCAGCGGGCGGCTCCTGCCCATGAGGGCCTGATGGAAAGCACAAAGGAGCTGGTGAGTACCGGAGCCCGCGGGCCGCGCGGGAGGCGGCGCGGGGGCCGGGAGGAGCGCGGCGGGGGCGGGAGCTGAGCGATCCGCGGTGCCCGTGCGGGAGGGGGCCGGGGCCGCCCGCGGGGCGCGGTGCGGGGCCGGGCCCCGCCGGGGTGCGGGGCTGCCGGGGCCGTGCCCGCCGGGCCCGCCGAGGGTCCCGTCCCGGGAGCCGCGGCGGGGTCCGCCCGGGCACGTGGCACCGGCCCGGCTCTGCCCCTTTGTTGCGGGCTCCGGTTTTGTCCCTCGCCCCTCTCCTGCCTCCGAGAAAACTTTCAGCTCCAGCTGCTTCTCCCCCTGCTCCGCTGTCGTGCCGGGTTTCAGTAACTTCCTCCTGCTGTTTCAGCCTTTTAAAGTTCTTCAGCGTGGTCACGATAAGTGCTTGAGAGTTTTCTTTTTTATCAGCACTTCAAAACTTTTGGATTCTTTGCGGCCACTTCCTCCCCTCTCCGTGCGATTTTTGTGTCTTCTGATGTTGTGATTTTGTTATTTTTGCGAGGAGTAGTAAACTCGTGAAACCAGTTTCGCTTTCAGGTTGTTGCTGGAAATGTTTGAAAGTGTAGCAATTTCTGCCCAGCGTGGCTTTGAAAATTAGAAGTCCTGCTACAAATCTTATGCTGATCATAGTGATAAATTCTGTGTGTGAAAAAGCAATTTATTTTAAAATGTGACTGGCAACTGTTGTGATTTTTCAAATCTAAACCTAGTCAAAACTGAAAGCTGCAGGGCAATCTCTTGTATTTAAAATTAAAATTATTTTGCAGGTTTGAGGACCTGCATTTACCTATTAATTGTATTCAACAGTTTGCTTTTGACTTAAATGGAATGGATTAAGGCTATGAGAGTCTAATCTGGAGCCTTCAATGAGAACTAAAATTATATATTCTGTTAAGAAGGCAATAAAACTTGGTAGGTTAATTGTCTTTAGAAGTGTGTAATGTGGGCTGTAGGAAACTATGCAGAGGGATCTTGTCTCCCAAAAACAGTTTGAGTGTTGTTTTTGAGAATATTTGGACTTGTGCACATGCAGAAAGATTGCAAACTGAAAGTAAGAATTCTCTTTGCTGTTCCCTAAAGAACAAGGTGCCTTTGGCAGCAGTGGTAATATGCACAAAAGTTCCTTCTCTTTAGCTTTCATTTCTCTTACCTTCTAAAATTTGATTTAATTTTGCAAGGCTTTTCATATCTCCTGCAAACCACTGCTGCATTCCTTCATTTCTCAGGTAAGTTGGTATACATACTGGGGATGTGGGATCCTTTGCTGAGCCTGGCTCTGAGCACGTGGAATGAATTCAGGTGTTGAAGACTTTGGTTTTGGGTTGGTGGTGGTTTTGGGGTTCTTTATATTTAAATTTGTTTGTTTCATTTGGGGTTTTGTTTGTTTGTTTTAATGGTAACACAGTGTTTAAAGTGAAATATTTGCCTCTTCCTGATACTCCTGTAAGGGCTTTGTAGAAATATAAAAGAGTTTGTAACAGATTTTTAGTTTTATCAAAACTCAGATATTTCACAGATTAATCATCACACCCCCCCTCCAAAATTTCCTGCTAATGTGATATATTTTTTTATGAAAGAGTCTCCCCTCTTGTGTGAAACCCCCTGGGGAAGAGGCTATGGACAAAACCATTGACAAACAGCAGAAACTGGCTTCAGACAAAATGCTGTCATACATAGCAAATGAAGAGACAGGAAAAAACATTTCTGTAATTTTCCAGCAGAGATTTTACTTATAATAAGAGTGGAAGGCACATTTCCAGATAGAGGTGAGTTGCTTATATAAAAAAAGTAAGTTTGGTTGGTTCTGATTTCCAAGAATCCCAAGATGTTTAGTTTTGGGGTCTTTGTTTGTTTTTAATGAAAGCTGAAAGTGTGTTTTCTTTAAATTGGTACCATGTTTGAATTTTCTTTTTTTGGTTATTTTCTGAGGCACAATTAGGCCTCAGAACACAACTCAGTTCCACAGGGACAAGCTACTATTCTACTGTAAATTATTTTGGCCAACTTGCATTCAAAAGAGATAAATTCAAAATAAATTAATTCTGTTGTGGTGTTTCCTTAACATCCAAACCTGAAAGTAAGTTTGTAGCATAAAGCATCAATGAACTATTAGAAACAAAACCTGTGCATCAAATTTAACTTGGAAATACCCTTGGATCCATTAAGGATATGTGATTAAAGTAAATTTGTTTTATGCCAGACCCTTGGCTTGAAGGTTGTGGTGACCTCATTGTTGACCTTGTTGACCCATCTGTCCATAGTTCTGTCCCATTTGAGAGGGTTGGAGCTGAATATGGGAAGTGATGCCTCTGTTCAAGTGCTGGGGTACCTTTGCTGAGCTACAGCTCTTGTACTCCAAGCTCCAAATTGCTGCCATTCTGAGTTCAAACCCCAGGTTGAATTTAAAAGTAGCAATAACCATTTGGAGTGATTTGAAACCTTTCTGTTGCTGTTTTGGATCTTCCTCCTGTGGCCAGCTGCACTTACCCGGGGGCAATAGGTTTGGTTACACAACAATGGGGTGTTGTTTGTGCAAGTTCTTACCTTCAAAACTCTTTTGCATAAATTTTGCCAATGCTTGAGTATAGTCTTCATCAAGACACTAAAGCCATTTCCTAAGTAAGTGTTTGATGTCTAAATAAGATGAAATGGTTTCTGGTTTTGCCATGGATTGCTCACTCTTTGTGCCCATTTTTTGTGTTGTAAGAATAGTTACTAAACTCAAAGAATGTATGCTATAATGTGTTGATCAAATTCAGTGTGTGTGTATATATATGTATATTAAAGTGTATATTTAGAGTGAGAAACTGGTTATTTTCTGATTTGTTTAGAGTTGCCTTCCTGCTTTCAGGGAAACCAGTTTCCTTAGCTATGTTCTTTTTCATACCATTTGCCTCATGTAATGCTTAATTAAGAGTATTTCTTAAAAATATTCTGTTGTCAAGTATTCACAGGGCAGAGGGGAAGAACAGGAAAATGGGAAGTTGGGCAGAATACGAAAGCAGTTCTTAAGGGTTCCTTTCTCCACCCATCACTTCAATAAAGAAAAGTATGCAAGAATCCCCCCCGAGCAAACAGTCTGGGGTAATTTGCCAGTGCTGCTCATGATACATTTCACAGTGCTCTGACTGAAAACCTCTGTTGAGGAATGAGTAATCTTATTAGGAAAATAAATCTTAGCCAGAATGCCTGAAAGTTTGTCTTGTTCTTTTGTTTGTGCATTTCTTCTGCTTAATGTACAGATAAACTCTATTACTGGAGTAGTTACTCAAGCTGCTGCTCTTTTGGCATTAACCAGCTGCAAGGTTCTGTTTCATAGCAAGCCAGGCTCCTGCTCCAAGCAGTTTCTGTGGATAGACAAGAGGTTGGTCCCTGCTTTGTTAGAAGTTGAATACTGTTTGGGTTGTATTTTGAGGAAAAGACAATCTCCTCAGTGTGATTTTTAGTGCTGAGTCCAGCTTTGAAGAGTAGGAAGCTGGCTTTATGTTGATTTAAGGATTGGAGGTTTTTTCTTTTTTTTTTTTTTTGCACACCTCTTTTTGATTCCAAGGACCTGCAGCTCTGTGGGGAGATGCTGCTTTGGACAGACAAGGTGTTGCAGTCATCTGTGATGCCTAAAAGGACTTGTCAAGAACTGCTTGTCCTTCACATGCCTAGAAATGACTTCCAACATTGCTTGTTCTGTTACCTCACCAGGGATGAGATGAGGCTCTTTGATCTGTCATTTCCTGGGTTCTCCTTTTGCCTTTTCCAAAGATAGGAGGGATAACAACGAAGGGAGAATGTGTGCATAGTAGATGGTTCCAATTTCCTGGTATCTCTAGTGAAGCTCACCATAGGGTATTAGAGGCCACCAGCACTTCAGGAACTGTTGATGACATGATTGAGAGCTTCTAGAAGAAGACTGAGGTCCTAGAAAATCAGAAAGGGGGAAGATTTGTAGTTAATTTTCAAAAGAAAAAGGTGGAACCAATTAGCAAGAACTCAGCAGAAATTGCAGGCTGCTGCTGTACTGAAGCAGCTGCTTTATCTTGGTTGTAATTCTGTTTGAAGTATACATTGTCCTTTTTATAAGGATGTGTCTTTGACCTTTGAATTCAAGCAATGCTCCTACTTTTTTCACTTCCAGATGTTAGAGCTCCTTTTCTTTTGTTCATCTGAATTCTGCAGGAAGGGTTATCAAAGCTTCCTCTTGTTCACTTTTTTCCTTACAAATGCTGTGTTTCAACATGGGTTAAAAAGAATCTCTGTGGTGTTTATTATCAAAATATAAGTGTTTTGATCTGCTCTAACAAAATTCCAGCATAGGGATTTGTATATCATCTTCCCTAACTTTCACCTACTTATGCTGGTTTCTTTCCTGCAAACTCTGCCTTTTTGAAATCTCACAAAACATTTTGAGTAGTTTCCCCAATTGCAATCCAGATAATAACTACAAATTAACATTAAGAATATCCTGCATAAATTATCTGACAAGAGCTGGGATACAATTTTTTTATAAAAACTACAGTATTATTTTAAAATTATAAGCAGAACAACTGATTTGAATTGCAGATTTGTTATTCAATAATTTTGAATTGGAACAGTTTGGCTGAATATTAAGTAAATGGAAAGGTAATACATGAGGTTTGTTTTGACAGTGTAGTTAAACTCAAAAACTTGATGATTGCTAGTACTGAAGTTGTATAAAACTGAAGAATGATTTTTCCTAATTGACCACCCAACTTTCCATTTACAAAGAGAAGCTGTTTTCCTTCCCATCTGTGGATATTTTGGCAAAGAGAGCTTAGCAGTAATAATGAGGTACTAAATGGAAGTGATGCAAAAGAACAACAGAAAGAGCCAGGTGCACTGTTGTAGTTACCTTGCCCTGTGCTTCAGCTTCTGGTCTTCCACCTTGCCCCCAGCTTCCCAGTTCTTCCACCTTCCCTGGCAGTGGGAGCAGAGCTGGCTTGGGGAGTTGGAAGGACTGGGAATGGGCTGCACTTTAATTCCTTCTTAGTGGCAACAGCATTTAAGACCTGAGCAAAGTTACCACCTTATAGGTCCAGAGTTCTTCTCCAGTCTGGAGTGGGAAGAGATATCCTGAGACAGGCTTGTACTGCAGCTCTGTAAGAGGGCTGAAGCCATAGGATCACACCTCGGTGTAGGATGAGGCCCTAATCTCCTGGTGAAATCAGACCAGCTGTTTTAGAGGATGAGGACATGAGCAGGGAGATCCTTCATTGGGCTTTGAAGCACCACAAGTATCTGTCCATGAAACCTCCTATGCATCACAGTGCTTTGGTAGTACTGCTGGGAATGGTTCATATGGAATCACAATTTATATCTTTGCAGAGACTGTGGTGAAGAGAGCTTAAATACTGTGAGATATTAAGGAGTTCCAGAAATCTTGAGGAAGATGACTAGTTTTCATCTTCTGCTCTGAAAATTCCTGGCAGTGTTGGCAGGACACTGTATCCATGGCGATGTTGTGCTCATCTTCTGCCTTAAGCTGCACACATGTGCACACACAAACAAGTCACTGGTCATGCATGTAGGTGGCAGATGGGACAGGTGACACTGCTGCCAGCATGGGTCAGGGCTGAGCTTTGCCATGGCTCAGTGTTTCCTCTAACAATCCCATGGGCTTGTTTCAGGTTATGACCTATCCTAAATTTGATTTGATTTAATACAATTCTAATTTTTTTTTTTTTTTTGCTGGAGAGTATAATCATAATTAACATTATACTGACTTGGTTGTTTTGTTTCAGAATTACTGTGTGTTTAAAGTGTTTGCCTTATTGCATAAGCTTTTGTGCTTACTGGGTTTCTGAGAATTTTTTTTAATAATTGCATTGGGTCAGTGTGGAAATCAGTTTTCCCTTGTACCTATTAGGAAATTCTTCCATAATAGGATTTATTTAGATTGCAAAGTAGAATATATTATAATAAAGGCACAACATGGCAGAAAAAGGCTTGAACAAGATCTAACAATAAAGATGTTCAGGCATATGCTCTAGGAAAGGGATTTGGGGAATTGTGATGAAATCTTGAAGCTATGAATCCAAATGCAATTTAAGAAGGAAAAGCCCAATCACATTACCTTTCTCTCTACACTGACTTTTAAATAAAATTAGCTCTTGGAAAGGGAAGTTGAGCCAAAGGCTTTCCTAATTTTTCTTGTTTTCTTGTCTATACTTCACTCCCCTAACTTGTGCTTTTATTGTAGAATTTCTTTGTTTTCTCTTTATTTCCTCCCAAACTTAGTAGATACTAAGATTATGGAAATAATATAAAGTTGTTCTTTTAGCTTAATGAGGGCAGTTCACATAGGAGTAGTCTTGCTTCAATAGAGCTGTGTAAGATATTAATAAGTGAAAGCTGTCACTTTATCAAAATGTATGTGGTGGATGTGCCTCAGAAAAAGTGCATCAGTTAATCTCTTGCTTCTTTACTGTCTTTGCTGGAAATTGCTTAACTGTCATGTCTTCTGCAAAATTGTGTGGTTTTATCCTACTTCAGATTTTTTTATTATAGAAAAACTATTATGTAACAAGTTTTTTGTATATGACAGTGGCAAATTAGTCACCTTTCTCTCTTTCAGCATTTGTACAGACCCTATTGCCATAGTAACTGAGCTCTTCATAATGGTTAATGTATTAATCCTCTGAACAGCCCTGTGAGCTGGAGAGGTGTTCCTGCTTCACACGGGAGTCACGGAATCATAGGGGAGCTAAGTGATTTATGGATAACCCCACCAGCCAATAAGAGCAGAGAGCCTCTCATTCCTTTTGCTGTGGTATAAGTGCCCTCTTGATTGAACTGTCTTTTCTCTGCCCAGCTTTCTCAAATGAAGGAATTTTAGTGGAATTGGCTGCAGCCATCTGTAATGTGCTCATTTGCATATAAGATCGGTGTGGCTGTCAGTGTTCAGCTCATCAGACTTAATGAACTCTAAAGATACCAAGGAAATTAAATGTATGGATGGCTCCTGTGTATTTTCAGTGGATCATGAGAAAGATTTTTTTTCTTTTTGTATATCACAACACCAAAAATTGGCCAGTTTTGATTATACCAATGCTCACATAATTGGCAATACATGGTTCATGTCTGTGCTGATACAGCAGTGCCTTAGAATATCTGCTTTTGAAGACTGACCTGTGAAACTTTTTAAGCTTGACTTTGAAATATTTCCATTCAGAACATTCTGCTATTCTCTGTTTTTTGTTGTTGTTTGGTTATTTTTAATTTTTAGACAGAACATAGTTCCCGAGTGGAAAGAAAACGCCAAGACTCGTTCGGGATGTTTGACGGTTATGATAGTTGTAGTGAGGACACCAGCAGCAGCTCCAGTTCAGATGAAAGTGAGGAGGAGGTTGCTCCTTTGCCATCCAGTCTCCCAATTATCAAGAACAATGGGCAAGTTTATACTTATCCAGATGGCAAATCTGGCATGGGTGAGTATGTACTGTGTGGGTGCAAGGAGCTGGGTTGTGAGGGTCCCATCCCAAATGTTGGTCCCACTGAAAAGGGACCAAAGCAGCTAAAGGGTTGGAGTTGGATGGTTCTGGGAAGGAGAATTCTTTGGGTTCTGCAAAACTGAAATAAGAGAGGGTTTGAAACCTGCTGTCAGGGAGGAAATAGTATGGGAACATCTGCCCTCCTGTTAAATGTTGTTGTGTTTGCACATGCATGTGTGTATTCTCATGTGCATCAGTTTTGTTCTTGGAGCTTTGAGGAAAATGTCAGTGTGTTGTGTCTATGCCGGGGCATGCCTTCTCTCTACCCTTTATGTTACAGGTACAATACATTTAAATATTTCTTCCTATACTAGGAAAACTTCATTACTGCTATGGTATAAAAACTGTTAGTGTTTACCTGTTCACTCCTCACTAGCTGTGAGCTGGAGAATACTAGAAAAATAAATTAAAAGGGAAGAGTTCTTTTATCAGGGAAGAATATTTTATGTGAAATCCTAGTGATTAGTGTAGAGCTTTCTCTGGGCAGAATTGGGGTGTTGTCTGACTGGCATTAGTTGGTCTCCAGGTCTTACCCATATACACTGTGGGTGATGCTGTCCATCTCTGAAACATTATTCTAGGCAGAAAAAAACCATTAGTGGGCTGGAGTACTTGGGATACACTAATTTATTAATCAAACAGTAGATCTGGTTTTATTTCAGTTTGGAAGTATTCAATATTTAGAGGAAACCAAGATTGGCAAGCCCAGATTCAAAGCAGATGCTTCCTTGAAAACAGTGAAAAATCAAAAATCGGCTTGAGCTGATTTAGCTGGGTCATTCATTTGCATGGGGGTGAAATTAATAGTGAGCAGAAAGAGGCACTGTTTCATCAATGAACTTGAGGTTCTTGCCGTTTCACTGTTATTTGTGGTGGTGTTTTAAATTTTTTTCCCTGTGCAATTTTCTTTGGGGTCGAGCCCTCAGAAACTGTTTGACGGTGCCACCTCCAGGACCTTCATTCTCTCCTTTATGTTCTGAATTTTTACTGCTATTTTTAACTACACTCTTAATATTTTAAGGTTTTTTTTCTCTCCTCTGATTAGCTACGTGTGAGATGTGTGGGATGGTTGGTGTCCGGGATGCTTTTTACTCTAAAACCAAGCGCTTCTGCAGCGTGTCGTGCTCCAGAAGCTATTCCTCCAACTCCAAGAAGGCCAGCATTCTGGCCAGGCTTCAGGTAGCGGTACAGACACCGTTTTCTTTACATCCTTTCTGTCCTCTCTGGTGGTAAAATTGGGTATTTGTACAGATGGCTGCATGTTTTAAGATCAGTTTTCTTGGGTTTGAGGGTTTTCTTTATAGAGTTGCAAAATAGGTATATGTCCATTGACTTAAATATTAATCAAGTAATCATCAAGGCATGTTTGAGTATTCAAGAAAAGATAGAGAAATGTCAAGAAATATCATTATACCTTGTCTCAAATTCATTGCAATAAATGCCAAGAAATTTCATTTGCTATAAGTTAGATTAAAAGTTCTTCCTTTTGACCTGCTTTTAAGAGATATCTTTTTTTCAGGTAAACAACAGTGAATCTATAGTGCTGTTCAAGTTGGGATAGTAGTACAAAAGTCATCTTTTGGACACTCCTTACTACTGGTTTTTAAATTTATTTTATAATGCATGTGTGATTCTTAGTCTCTGTGTACTTCTGATTTTAGTTTAAATCTGTCAAAGATAGCTGCAGACCTGTGGAAATTTCCTGTTAGGAGTTTAGAAAGATGTTATTGACTTGGGTTGTTTGTTTTTTTTTTTTAGGGTAAACCTCCAACAAAGAAGGCTAAAGTTCTACAAAAACAGCCCTTAGTGGCTAAATTAGCAGCATATGCCCAGTACCAAGCAACTTTACAAAACCAGGCAAAGACAAAAGCAGGTAACAGCATATAAATGGAGCTGAAACAAAAACACTGAAAGATTTGTGCATCATGAGCAGCTTCCTAACTGAAATAACTTTCCCTTAGCAGCTGTCCCTGTGGAAGGTTTCAGCTGGGGTAACTACATCAATAGTAATAGCTTTACAGCAGCACCTGTTACCTGCTTTAAACACGTGAGTATTTCTCAGTTTGTGCTTTCCTTCTTCTCTGTGTGTCTATAAGCAAGTCTGTGGAAGTTCTTGAATTCATTTTTTCAAAACATTCATGTCAAAATTTTTCATGATTTATGAAATATAACTGAATATGATTACTTTTTAGGTAATTTATCTGTCCTTTAAAATCATTCTGAACACCATCAGTTACTTTCATCTTATGTACACTCTCATAAATAAAAAGGCTCTTACATACTTGAGAATTGTTTTTCTTATGTCCAAGTCACAAATCATCCTGTGTATTGCAGAATAACAAACCAGCCAAGTCAAGCTGTACTGAAAACAGTTACAGAAGGCTTTTTAGGTTAAGTCAGGCTTGTTATATTGTGTTGGACTGATCTTTTCATTGCATATTTATATTTGGGGCTTTCTTTCTTAATTTTTAGTCAGATTCTCCCTGTCAGTCATGCTGACAGGTAGTCTAGTATAGGGGAAAATTAAGGCTGTCTAGAAATCTGAAATTTAAAAAGTTGGTTTTCTTTGTTTTAGAGTTTCAGAAATTTCAGGCAAAAAGACATTCTTTAATGACTGAGGAAATAAGGGGTTGGGAAAATACTTAGAGCCATCTGTATTTAATGTGTTTATAAAATTCCAGTAATTAGACATTAGACTAACAATTAAAATATTGTCAGTACTTTCTGTCTCTTAAGTAAAAGAATTGACAGAAGATGTTTTCTTAGCATATTTTTTAATTTGAGAAGTTAAAGCATACTGTATTACAAAATTTTTGTCTTGCTCTAAATTATGTGCTGAAAGTTGTAATCAAAACAAACATTTTGCTTCATGGAAGTTGTCCATGAGAGAGAAGAGAAATATTTTCTCTCCTGCTCAGGAATTCCTGCTGAGCCCTCTCAGATCATAAAGCAGTGGGAGTTGAGGGCTCCTGGCAGTTGGCACTCTGTGAATAGTGCCCTTTATGCTCAGAGGCCTCAGCTACTGCCCAGAACAGAGCCTTGCGTTAGGGGAACTTGGGGAGTTTGTATCAAATTCCACGTGCTTGAGTCAGCATGTTTGCACTGTGCTTTCACAGCTATGTACATGTAATAAGTGAATTCATAGTCCATATCAAAAAGTATCATTTGATAACATGGGCTGTGCTATTCTATTTACAAACATCTCACTGTGGGTGACATCCTCTATTAGAGACAGCTACAATTGTTAGATCACTTGTAAATTATACTATGTCGTTACATTTTATTAAAATCAGTTGTATCTTTCTCACCGCTTCATCTGCACACTGCCCCAGTAATGTGAACCAAGACCACACTCATGGTCACATTGTACCTCAAAAATTTTCACAAGATTATGGCAACAGTGCTACCAAGTAGCCTTTGTTTCTTTTCTGTCCTCATTTTCCTTTTCCATACAAGTAAAATGCAAATCATGCAGTTTTCTTTGGAGATTTCTATTTCTTTGATGGATATGAGTTAGTGTTATAAGGGTATGATTTGCATTTAACTTTGCTGTAATTATTTCTTTGAAAAATACATTATTTAGACCAGTCAGAATCTGAAAAACACGTCAGTGCTCTTTTGTTAGGTCCTTCGCTTTGTCCCACTCTCCACTGATAATTAAACAGTATTCTTTTTGACTTTCTGGAAAGATTATTTCCGTTTTCTGTATACTGTATTGCTTTGATTTGTAAAAGTTTGTATTAGTTGATGTTTCTTCACCATCCATATTACGGATTTGATACACCTGTATGTGTGTGATGGAATATATAAAGCTTATTCTGCTCAAGATCAAAGTTTTGAGTCGACAGTAAAATGACATACCTACCCTTAAATTCATCATTAAATAAAATATATTGAATTTACTGGTTATACTGGATATATCTTTATGGATATTTGATAGGGAACATTAGGATCAATATTAAATAAAATTTCAAGAAATTATGAGATGTGAGATTTTGCTTGTTTTTTTTAATAACCTGGCATATTTCAGTATCTCAGGTCTGATGTAGAATTCACACATCAGTTTCTCTAGTTTTGTTTTCTTCCTGGGAAGTTATTTCTTTCAATTTAAAACAGCTACATTTTAGAATTAAAGTATCTAAATATTGGGAAGTTCTTTCTCTTTATGATAAGGATTAATTTCAAAGTATTTTGATGTGCTTTTTGTGCTTCCATGTTACATTTATTCCAGACTTGAGTGTTGAGCAACACTAACGAAATTCAGTGGCAATAGAGTCGCCATGCCCATGACTTCAGCTTTCAGTAAACTGAAGTAGGGAACTGCTTTGGTTTATATCCTACAGGAAGCCCATGACAATGCCAGAATTCCCATTTGTGCACCTTGCAGCCTCTTTTTTTATTTTGTCAAATTGCATTAATCAGGCACACAGCAGTAGCTGCTGCAAGGAGAAAAACTCAATGTTTTTAATATTGAGTTATAGCTTAGTCACATACAGTGAGCTCATTGCTGGCCTGCATTCACTTTTTCTCCTCTAAACACGTTTTACTCTTTTCTATAGTTGCTTTTATTAGTTCAAACCATTCCTACAACTGAAAGCAAATTACAGTGGTTTGAGTTACTTCTCAGTACTACTTACTGGAAAATTTTATGCATAATTAAGAGCAATTATTTATTTTCACTCTGTTTCTAATGAGAGGCACATTTACTGAAGTACTTTCTTCCACCTGAATTTTAGTCTGAGCTGAAATATTTTCATTCTCTTGATTTCATCTGTTTTTAAACTATATCCAGTGATTTAAGGGAGGATTTCCAGGATGCTACACTGGGTGGCAGTGTTCTGCTTTGGCGGTGTTTGTTTAAATCATTTTTGCATGTTTTCTCCTCTGGCATTACCTGTTGGGGCACTGCTCACACACGAGGTTTCAGCATTCCATACAATTCAGGAACTGGTAGCATCACCATCAGGATTTGCCATTAAAATCCTGATTTAATTTAAATTCTGGAATTATGGCAGTGTTGATGCCATCCAAAACTTCTAGAAGCCACTTATTTAAGCCATGTGAGCTCTTTATTCAGGTGCATATGTGGAATACTTGGCCTTTAGGTGCTCCTGTCAAACAGGCCCTTCCTGACTGCACCTTACCTTGCAGAGAAGGCCCTTGGTGCTCACAGATAGAGCCCTCCCAGGTCATGTCCCGGAGCAGGAAGCCAGGAACCAGCTCTTCCTTGTTTGGGAGTGATGTGAAGTGGATCTCTTCGTCATGAGTCTGAAAGGTAAATTTGTTCTTACCTGTAAATGATGGTTCTGCTAGTTCACACTATGCCAATCCAGACTGCAGTCACCTTCCAGCCAGCAGATAAGTAAGACTTAACACTTCTCTAGTGCATTTGGAGTTTTTAAAAGCACTCTTTGAACATTGATTTATCAGATGAGACAGAGGAGAGATGAAGGAAGATGGCTGTCACAGCCCTGGGTTATCCAGGTCTTCCTGTTTCAGGAATGTCCCTAATGAGTGAAGGAGACTAAGACAGTACAGTGTAGCAGGTGTGCTGTAAACCATCCCTCAGGACAGTGTCATTGTCTGACATTTCAGCAGTGATGCTGCACAGGATGGCTTCCTTTTTGAAAGGGTGAGCCATATGGATTGGTGTAGGAGAACTAGCAGAACCAATGTTTTCACAGACAAGGACAAATTTAACTTTCTGCTATTTCCGTCTATACCAATCCACGCTCTGGAAATGAAATTTCCATTATAGGTTGATGTCAGGAGAAGTGTTTTGATATACTGTTCTCTCCAAATCAACTGAATAGATGAGCAGGCAATAAAATGTACTTCACTTCAGTGCAGCTGGATTATGAAATTAGTCAGCACTGTTATTTTTGATTGTTTGGCCTCATCTTTCTTTACAGGCAACAAGATTTGCTAAAATGCACGGTTTGAAAAGTTTATTTCCTCAATTCAATTCAAAAACCTACACGTGTCAGTTTAGGGAGGGTAGTGATCACAGGATGGGACTTAAGTTGTAGCTGCCTATTTTGTTTGTGAAAATAAGCCATCATCTTTTCAGTTGGATTTTTCTCTGGCTGCAGTTGGCAGAAGAGAGCTCTGTGGTCTAGACTGGTGTAGATGGGACATAGCAGAACATGAAGAGACCAGGCTTCAAGAATAGAAACTGGCATGCCTACATTTCCTTTAAGAGTTGAAATTAGTTTTAAGTTTTGTATAACCTCAAATGCTTCAACTAGTGAAGGGTTTCCTTTTTTTAAGATAAATTCAGCTTCTAGTGCTGCTAATGGCAATTGCTGATTGCCAGCAAAATTCCAGTGTTGTCATTTTCAGTCATTCAGGATTAATCCAGATTGATTAATCTTCACTTGTAGCTTCTATGCAGTTAGAGGCTATTCCCACCGAGTGATTCAGTTCTCTGGGGTCACCAAGAGTTTTGTGAATGAGACAGTGCAGAGCCAGGGGATCCCTCCTATCAGTCCCAGATAAGAATTAATTTTTCTCAGAATTTTTGTGGCTGTTGTTATAAAACACCCAAAATATGAATCTCTCTCTCCTGGGTAGTCTCAAGTTTAATGCAGACTGAGAAATTTTCTAGCTTGTTAACATTATAACTTGTGTTGACTTACTGTTAAGAATTTAGGTTCTTCAGCACTGTGCATTTCTCTTATCTACAATACCATCTTTGATTGACATTTCGTTATGCTCTGTTCAACAAAATGTTCTTGTGGAGATAGCAAACTAAATGTGATTTCTATCACCAGCTTCTGCAAACCCTTACAAGTTCATCAGGTGGATATTTCTTCTTGTTCCTAACATATTCCTCACAATGTAAGGGATCTTGCTGTGCCTTTCCTTCTGGTGTTCATTAAAAAGGTGCCACTCAGAGCCTTCTGTTCTTTTTGTCTGCTCCACGGAGTGATCACTTGCAGGTGATGTGAAAGCCTGTTCCTCTGAGAGGAGGTGAACAGTGGGTGATAAACCCCACCATAATAAATCATCAGAATATATTAAAGAAATAATTTTTAGGTGTTCTTCCAGCAGCATGCATGACTTGCAGAATTTAATGGTTTTGATGTCTGTGCTTATAGGTACCATGATTTTCTTGCAAGTAGAATTGCATAGCAATTTCCACCATTCTTACTAACGTCAGTAGTTTCTTCCTAATTGAAACATCATAGAATAAAACTGACCTTTGAGAATGTACAGTTTGTGCTCAACTGCTATTTAAACTTGGAATACTATGGGTTTTTTTCAGTAAATACACAGGAATAATTGGATACAGTTACAGAATTATGCATAGTTGTCAAATCAAAACAAAAGTAGGTTCTCATAGAAACAGTGGTTTCTAACCATGTATTTGTTATATGTATATTGAATGTTTTGTCTTTTTAAGTTGCTTGCAGCACACTGAGATAACAGAAAATTAATATTTTCACATGGTGAGCTGATGACTTTTTAACCCCAACCTTGACAGGCACCTATGGGGACTTGCTGGGGTGATATTGCAGAAGGAGTGCGAGTGGAGGTTCCAAACTCTGACTGCAGCCTACCTACCAAAGTCTTCTGGATAGCTGGAATTGTAAAATTAGCAGGTAAATGTGTTTTAGTTGCAATTAAATAATCAAAAGAACTGTGTGAAGAGATCAAGTACTTTAGTCAGTGATCACGTGGTGAGAGTAATGTTGACACTGGTCAGGTTGGCAGAGCTGTGTCTGTGGGTTATACATTGTAGTGCTGTCACTGTTCTACTGTGATGCTTGAGAATGTCTCTCCTTGGTTTGGTTTTTTTAGTATTGCCTCAGAGTGCAGTAAGAGCAGAGCAGAGCAGAAAGGAGACATGGTATAAGAGCTGTCAGGAAGCCTCATTATACAAATTACTTTTCTGGGTAAAAAGTTAGAAATTCAAGATTACAGATCTAAGATATGAAAAAGCAGATACTGTGCGTAATTAATTCTAAGATATGAAAAAGCAGATACTGTGCGTAATTCATTTTGGCTCTTTTGTGCAACTTCTAAAGCTTTATAGTTCAAGGATTTTAGTCTTATTTAAATTTACTTACAGGATAATACATGCACATTTATCAAAGTAATCAATTCTGTGCATTAGTAGCATCCAAAAAATAACCTTGCTATAAAAGCCTTGCTATTAAAAATTACATTTAGAAAACCAATGTAATGTACATGATGATTGGTCAGGAAATATTCATATGTATTTTATAATCTTGTTTCATTATTGTATTTTTTTTAAATGCTCTCTTTCAGGCTACAATGCTCTGCTGAGATATGAAGGCTTTGAAAATGATTCAAGTCTTGACTTCTGGTGCAACGTTTGTGGGTCTGACATTCACCCAGTTGGTTGGTGTGCAACCAGTGGGAAGCCCTTAGTTCCTCCTCGAAGTATGTAAATAGCAGTCTTACTGACTGATTTCAAAGTCTCTTTATTAAACTAAATTTGCTAATTGTCCAGATATCAAAATATTCTTTTACCATAACTCTTTCAACAGCTATGAATTAATAATTTTAACTTTTGACTGATGCCATATTTCTTGGAGCAGCCCATCTGATGTGACTCAAAGCTTTTAACATCGGTGTGGCAGCAGTTTGCTAATCAGTGATGGGAACATGCACTGATTTTATTTATACTTTGTTATTAAGTTGTTTACCCTGGCCCATAAACTTAATCTCGGATAGCATTCATTCTCTTAAGAGCCTTTTTGTCACTATTGTAATCTAGGCCTTTTAATAGTAATCTGGGATTTCTTCATTACATATTCCAGACTCTAATATTGTCTCTACCAGGCGCAATTAAAAACTAGTGGCTTATTTTTTTCCCCTTCATTTGCAACAGCCATCCAGCACAAATACACAAACTGGAAAGCTTTTCTAGTGAAACGACTTACTGGTGCCAAAACACTTCCTCCTGACTTTTCTCAGAAGGTAAGGCTGATCCAGTATCAATGATGTTCTGCAAGGAAAACTGCAGTACAGTGTGAAGAACTGAAATATTTTGCAGTTGCACATTAGCTCCTCTTGCAATGAAGGAGGTACAGTAATTTCTTCCCTTAGGTACAGTTTTCTTTGGAATCCTTTCTCCAGTTATGTCCACACTTGTCAGTATGTATTTGATAAACTGTTTGCTCTAGAAAGAATAGCTCTCTGTAAAAACTAGTTGGTCTATTTTGATTTTAAAATACCCCACTTAAAAAATCTACAGAAAACCCAGAAGCGCTTATGAGTGTGTTATTTAAGAAAACTGAAAACTGATTTTTCTAATTCAGGATTTTTTTTTTAATGAACTATTTCAAGAAACTGAACAGAATATGTTAATATAGCATGGATGTAGAAGGAATGAAGAGCATACTTTTAAATCTTTTCCTGCTCTGGACTAGGTTTCTTTCTGTCTTGGTCACGTCTTCAGGTGTGGCAGCTGCTGTATGGTGTGCTGGAAATTTATTTGCCAATACTGTGAGATGATGGTGTATATAGTTCTTAGTAGAAATATGGGACTTAATTTGTTGTTTTACACTGCATGTAATGTTTTAAAACCAACCAAAATGCCTTTCTGCAGTTGTTGATTTTTATTTTAAAATTGGCTCAGTTAGAAGCCAAATTAAATTGGCAAAATATCAGTCCTTTGGAGAGTTTGTCATGAAGTTAGCAAGTGACAGATGCCGATTTTTAAATACAGTCTGTTTTCACAAAGCAGGTTAACATCTGTTTCCTTTTTTTTGTGTATTTTGAAGAAATACTTTTGTAAATGGCCAGTTTTAATTATGTTGAAGGTTTATTTTCCATGCCTTAAAATGAAGCATTTAGTCCTGTTTTTAAAATGTTGTATTTTGAGTGGATGACAAAGTAAGAACAAAAGATCTTGAGGTTTTTCTGGTTAAAGTTGTTTCTCAAGGTAACTTCACCCATTGTTAACAACTGAACGAACATTCATTATGTCAATGGAAAGTTCCTTGAATTTATGTGAGAATTGTATCTCATCTTAAGGGATGACCTTGAAAAAATTAAAGCATTTTAGGATGTGTTCTTAATTTTCTGAAATATTTTGTTACAATGAAATCGAAGACAAATAATTTGCGTCATTTCTCCAGATTGGTTAACGAGTCCTTCAGTTAACTGACAAGTGCATCAATACTGTGCTTTAAAAGACAGGAAATGGAAAACCAGAGGATATTATTCTTACAGAATGTGTGTTTTGTGTTGTTTCAAGGTGTCTGAGAGTATGCAGTACCCGTTCAAAACCTCCATGAGGGTGGAAGTAGTGGACAAGACGCATCTGTGCCGGACGAGGGTGGCGGTGGTGGACAGCGTTGTTGGGGGCCGCCTGAGGTTGGTGTATGAAGAGAGTGAGGACAAAACTGATGACTTCTGGTGCCATATGTACAGCCCACTCATTCATCATATTGGCTGGTCTCGCAGTATAGGACACAGGTTCAAAAGATCTGGTAAGTTTGGGTTGGGTTAGAAGTTTTGTAGCCAGTGTGGGCTGAGAGGAGTGTAGCTTAAGCAGTTCTGTTGCTATATACAATTCATCAAACTACCTTGAATATAATTCTTGAAAATGTTATGTAATGTAGCCCAGGAGTTTTACCAATTTTATGACACTCAGTTAAAAATATAAATAACATATTATACAGCAGTGGAAAAGCCACAATAACCTTTAAGTGGATTTCTAGTGTTTAGAAGATTCAATGATAAACAGAGGCCAGCAAACTGTAGGCATAAAAACCTTTAATGCACAATTCAAGCTTGGTAAACTTCAGTAAACTTCACTTTTCATGCTGATACCTGGAATTACAGCCCTACTCCACAAACTCCTGGTTTCTTCACATCTGTCTTCTTCATTGTACAATACAACATGGACAAGTATCCCAGTAGATACAGAGTTTCTATTTACTGACAATTTTAAAGATGGTCTAATACTTCATTTTGTCATATTTATATGATTTAGAAGGCATTAGGGAATGGGCTGGGAAAGTGAAATGACAATGTGATAGAAGGGACACAATTAAGGCCTTTGCTACCTAAAATACAAAAGCAATTGTAATTTGAAATAGTTAAGGCTTCTAAACAAAAAAAAAGTCTGGGTTTTTCATTATTTCTGTGTTCCTTTGAGTTGGTATCCCTTGTCAGAGACAGAATTTCTGTAAAGCATTCCACAAGGTTTCCCTTCAGGGAAATGCCTTCTGTTTTCCTGATGCTTCAACTTTCTCTGAAATAATTTATAAACAGATAGATATAGAGAGACATATATATAAAGTGATTATATGTAATTATATAAAAATGTAATTTTCTGTCATAGATAGTGCAAAGTAGTTTAACTGCCAGTTTTTTGCAAAAGCTTCAATGTAATACTTCCACCAATTTTGTGACATAATCAAATGGTCTTGTAAATACTGGATATTGTTTTTTTCTCATAAATTATGTTTGATATATAGAGGCAGCTCAGGTTGAAGTCAGCAAGGAAAATGGAAGGATTATGTCCTCCTGATTTTCGTGGTAGTGTTACTAATAAACTGTGGGCCTCCCACACCAGTGATTGTGTGCTGTTGGTTAAGATATTCAGAAAAACATTGTGTGCTCTGTGAACAAAACTTCTGAACAATATTATAGTATTATTATTATTCTTTGTAGATATTACAAAGAAACAGGATGGACATTTTGATGCACCCCCACACTTATTTATGAAGGTGAGTTGAATATCTAGAACACTCTTTGGAGAGTTGATTGAGGACCTTTAGTTCCTGCTGTGTGTAAACCAGACCTGAAACTCTATTTACATCCTGGCCCAGCCCAAGTATTTCTGCTTGTGTTTTCCAATCTGACCTCCTTGATATAAGCAGAGATGGTAGAACAGATATTTCAGTCTGCTGCTTTGGCAGTGTGGGGGTATGTTTTGTTCCTGACTCATTAAATTCTTTGTTTTTGCTGCTGTTCTGTGATTCTTTAGGTAAAAGAGGTTGATGCAGCTGGAGAGTGGTTTAAAGAAGGAATGAAATTGGAAGCTATAGACCCCCTAAACCTTTCAGCAATATGTGTGGCAACTATCAGAAAGGTAAGAAAGCAAATGTGCATTTTGGGGAGGCAAAGAGTAATCCTTTTCCCCTAACCTTTATTCAGGCATGAAACAAGAAGCTCAAAACCAAAATTAGGAGAGCTCATTCACACAGTGAATGGGGTATATCTGTAAATTGTTTATATACAACTTCTATGAAAATGTGCTCATGTAAATTTGACTTTAATCTCTGGAAATTCAGCCTTACCTTTAATGAGAATGTATTTTTGAGAGGAATTTGCAGGAAAATATTCTGTTAATTGTACCAAGTGTTTTGCAACTGTTCAAAACTAGACCTTATTTTGTTGACTTGCAGAAGTCTATGAAGATATTTTAAGGCTGTCCTTTTTTAGTTTGATTGAAAGGGAGCCAATCCATGTGAAATCTGATTTAAAAGAGAAACTGTAAAAACCAGCTTAGCTGAATTGTTTAACATTTCCAGTGAGGAGATTTGTTATGATTTTGAGTAATGGTATACTGAATATCCTTGCCAGCTGGAGAATAGACTGAGTTATAAAACTTTAGAAGTACAGCTGATGTTCACAAGAAAAGTAAACTAGAGATCAGAAAAAGGAAATGTTGATCTCATAACTCTGCAGTTATCAAAGGTACATATAACAGTTGCATTCAGTCTTAGGGACAGGTATGATTTGGAGGGTTTTTGTTATAATTTAATGTCCTTCTAAGTGTCCTTCCATTATTACTGAGTTGCTTTCACTCTTGAAACATGGCATGCTTTCTTTCTAGCTTTCTCACCCAGCTGAAGGTATTTAATGTGAAATTTTGTTTCTCTTTACCAAGGTGTTAGCAGATGGCTATCTTATGATTGGGATTGATGGCTCAGAAGCAGCAGATGGGTCTGATTGGTTTTGTTACCATGCCACTTCCCCTTCTATTTTCCCTGTTGGTTTCTGTGAAATTAACATGATTGAACTAACTCCACCCAGAGGTACAGGTAGCATTCTGACACCTTTTATTGTGAATACTACTCAGTGATACTGTATGTTCCATATGCTTTGTTTCTTAACTCAGCCTATAAAATTCAGGTCACTTCTTAGGACTTTCTTAAGTCTGAAACAAATACAACAGCTTTACTTTGAAGTAATCTAAACCAGATGTCACCAACTTTTCATTTAGTAAAAGTTAGATTGTTTATTGGCTGAAATAATTTGCATTTGCTGTCAGAAATTGAGGATTCCACTAAGTCAATGGAAAATGTGGAAGTCACTAAAAGGGCTCTTCAGAAAGTGTCACTGGTTGGGAAGTCCTGGCCACAAAAACAATTAATGAACACTAAAGAATCTCTGGCTAATTCACAACTACACCAGTCATTTTTTGGAAGGCTATATACAAACTTGAACTTCAGGACTGTACAGTAAATAAACCCCTCTGTGAGGAAAAGCTGTCTGTTCATAAGCACATGTGCCTACAGAAGACTTTGCCTCCCTTTTCCCATTTTTTTGCCTTGGTCTGGCACATTTTAAGAGGATCATCGCTGTATAACAGCAGATGTCAATGATTTTCTATGGCCTTTTCCCTCCATTCTCATTCTTACAGACTTCTACTTGTATTTAATGAATTATTTTTCTAGGTAATAACTACAGTGTAATGCAGCATGAAGAAAATAATTTCATACCATTTTTGTTGTGGTACAGTGACAACTCTGTCACCCTAGAGTGTGTGGAAAGTGCAGTCATGCAGATTTAGTTTTACTTTTCAGTCAACTCATTTAGTGAATTTATTGTCTAGAAATTCATGGGCACCAGCATCCCTCAAAAATCTGAGGTGCAGACTCTTGCTATGAAAGTTTTTATGGAGAAAATGCTTGTATATCAATACATATCAATCACATATATGGAACTGATGAGACAGAATAGGAGAAAAACTTGCCTTTTGGTTTCACTCCTGAAACACTACTTTCAGAATGTGGATTTTGTTGTTAGCACATTTGTGATACTTAGAGTGTTTCTTGTATCATGGCAACCTAATTCTTTACCTCCATGTACATTTTCACTTTTATTGCAGTTTTTCCTAAGTCCTGTGTTATCAGTGAGAGGTGATTATAAATCACACGTGCAATAATCTAAAAGTTATTTGGAAGATAAATTACTAGCAGTAAAATACAGAACATAATGCACATTAGCAATTTTAATAGGACCAAAGTGATCAAAGCTCCTTAGCTCTAACAAGGAGGGTACTTTGCTTTCCAAATTATGGGCTGGAAAATGGACAGCCTCTTAATTCTGCCTGGTCTGACAAGGCCCACATGCACATTTCCTGTGTGTGATGAACTTGAGTACAAATATATTAGTGTAGCAGAGGAATGTTGCATTGAGAAGAAAATCATTAATATGCAGAACTGATACAGTATTGCCATTATTAATTAACTGCAGCTGCATCTGTTCATGGAGATATTCCATAGCCAGTGTGAGCACTCTTATTCAAGTTGCATTTAGTATTGTGGATAACTTCAGTTTCTATGAAATCATTGGACTTTGCAAAGCTTTTTCCTCCCAGACTTCTTCATCCCATGCTGTAATCAGTAGAAGATGAAGATGCTTAGGCATTTTGAGAGATGGGATTGAATTTTTGGGCTGTGGGTACTGAGAGTGGCAGCCCTCTGCCCCCACAGAGATGAGATCCAGACCTCTCCTGTAGCTCCCACACTATGCCCAGTGCACTGCAGATTTTCAGGATGTCCATCACTGCACACTGCTGCACAGAAATCCTCCAGGCTATTGTTTCTCCAGCTAGAATTAGAGAATTATTAGTTTAATTATTAGTTAAGTTGTTATAGTTGCTCAAAGGAAAAGATATTCCTGTGTTTTATGCATATTCAGTAGCAGCTACATATCTTTTTGAGAGATTATTTTCTTCCCTTTATAATAGCTTTTAAAAAATCTTCTAATTTTCCATATTACGTATTACTGCTATTTTTACCCTTATTAAACTTTTAAAATATCCATGTTTATTCTTTCCATTCTGTTCCTGACAATTTAAGTGTTTCAATAGTGGAGCTATTTCCCCACAGGGAAGAAACTGGATGTTCTCAATTCTGTGATCTGTTCTGGGTCATTTGTGTAGGGCATTTGTAGACATAAGAATCTGCGTGGACAAAAAACTTCCAGTTTAAGTGATTAATCTTAACTTAAATGATATCTTTTATGATACCCAGTGCTTCATTCTTCTTGTTAGTTGCAAATGGGCTATGTTGAGGTGGCTTTTTGTCCCTTAGATCAAAGCTCAGAGAGTGGAAGTTTCTGCTACTGATGTTTGACTTTTGTTGGTTTTTTAGCTGTAACACACTCCCAGTGTGCTATTTTTGCTGTTGTTAGTACACATGAAGTTTGCAGTTGATGAATGAAAATGTTGTTTAAAATTCACAGGTTATGCAAAACTCCCTTTTAAATGGTTTGACTACCTCAGGGAAACTGACTCAATAGCAGCACCAGTAAAGCTCTTCAATAAGGTAATGAAATCATGCATGTTTCTATGGAATTAGTATTTTCTTTACATTTTTGCATAGTGCATGGGATGGACCCATTTGTTAAATACGGTTTTGAAAAGCAAAAACTTTCAGAGATAAGAACCATTTGAGTAAACAAAGTTGGTTGTAGGAATCTGTGGTATTGATTCCAAGATTGTAGAAAGTCTCTGTCTGTCAGCCCCGCTGCCAAAGCAGAAGCCATAATTGGTCTGTGCTGGTTTCCAGGTTGTTTATTCTGTTTATCTCTCACATGTTCTGCTGCCCTGCCCAGCTCTGTCCTGCAGGGCAGCGTGTGGGGCTCTGCCCTCAGTGGGATGTGACAAACATTAAATACCAGAAACTCCCTGGGCTGGATTTACAAGAACGTGCCAATATCTGTCACCTACGTTGGACAGTGTGTCCCCAGCCTGAACCAACAGAAAAATGCCAACACCACAGTGAGACATGGAGGGCATGAAGAAGGAGAAAAAGGACAAGGCACACCCAGTCTCCTCCATTTTGTCCCCTTTGGACCCCTTAGCTAGAATCCTAACATTTTAGTTTTGCACCCATGTCACACTTAATTATTACTTATATCAAACACTCAGAGCTTGTAATTCATCCTGTAAGATTGAAAACTCTTTTCCATGGCCAGAGATCACAGCCAGTGTCTCTGGGGGCTCTGTCCAGGGGGGTTCCTGACCCCTGCCAGGGTCCCAGACCTTCCAGGGCAGCCAGAGGGATGCCCTGGATTCCCACAGTTGGTATCTCTGAAATGTTGAGCAGATGCAGAGGTGCAGGAAACTTCATCAATTATACATTTTTTTTCTATATGAAGTGGATTGAAATCCCTGTTTCACCACTGTGCTTAAACTATCTTGATGAACATGTCTTGTTTACTGACGTTTGCTGCCTTTGCTTCCCCAGGAAGTTCCAAACCATGGGTTTCATGTTGGCATGAAACTGGAGGCCGTGGACCTGATGGAGCCTCGCCTGGTGTGCGTGGCCACGGTGACGCGCATCATTCACCGGCTCCTGCGGATCCACTTCGATGGCTGGGAGGATGAGTATGATCAGTGGGTGGACTGTGAGTCTCCAGATCTGTATCCTGTGGGATGGTGTCAGCTCACTGGATACCAGCTCCAGCCTCCAGCGCCCCAGTGTGAGTTCTGCTTTGGCAATAGTGAGAATGAACTTAATGGGGGCTCATTTTCCTAATTTTTACCACTTAGGTCCCCAGGCACAACAAAAATAGAAAAAACTCTTCCTAATGCCTGGAAGTTCTAATTCACAGTTCTAATCTTTCCCACTTTGACTTCTAAAGTACTTCTGAGTCTTTACTAGTCTGAGTTTTTTACTGTTTTTCAATGCCAGAAGATGCTGATTTGATGCCTGGAAAAAAACTCTTGTCAGCTCTGGAGGAGCTCACTGAGAATTTATATTTCTTTAAGACTGCCAGTGCATCTGTTTCACCTCCTGAATTTGGTGGAACTCAGCCTCTGCAGAAGCTGTATCTAATTTATTACATCACAACTTGTCCTGTCAGATCAAGTGAAAGTAATTGATGAAATGCATTTCAAGAACTGTTTTTTAATAAGAGGGTAATGAGCAAGTTCTTGTGAAGTAGTTTAATGCAAATTGGTTTTCCACAGTAAATTTCTTTCTTTGTTCAATCACTAAGGAAAAATTCTGTAACTGTGTAGCAGCTTTGACACATTTTAAAGTGTTTTTTTTTTTTAAATAAGCATAAATTTTGAATTCTTCATTTTTGCAGCATCAAGAGATAGCCAGTCAAGTTCATCCAAACAGAAGAAAAAAGCTAAATCACAACAGTACAAAGGACATAAGAAAAGTGGGTGACAAAATAGTGTTTGCACTTTACCTGATGTTTTAAAGTTTGTGGTCTCTACCTAAGTCCCTGTTCTATTTATGCTTAAAGGTGCAGTATGCCACAAAAGGAACTTCTTCATTGAGAATAACTATTTTTTTTATAACTCTTGATAGGGTAGATGTTGCTAATTATAATAATCTATGAATTGTAGATGGACAATGGTTAAAATATTTTTGTATTCTGACATAATTTTAGTTAAATAATGTATTGGCTGTGTATTGTATTGGTAGTTTTACTGTGCTGTACAAAATACTTGGGTATCAACACAGTTCTCTGCAACACAGATGAAGGAATAAGAGCCAAGTTACTGGAATGAGGTGTAGAAAATTTAAATTAGCATCTAACTGGCTTCTCTTTGAAACAAAAAAGCTACTCATTTACCAGATTTTTTGGTTTAGGCATCAATGTCAATTAAGCTTTTGTATTATTACTTTCAGAAACAAACAGCATTGCTGTATGTGGCTGTTCCTGTCACAGTAAAATACAGTAATGACATTTTTAAGAATGTGCAGTGTTCAGGTACTTTCCACAGTAATTCATTCCCTTGGAATCAAGTTGTTGAAATATAAAATTAGCTTGCTTAATTTAATCCTGTTTCCATAGTGTTTTGTTGTTGTATCAAACTAATGTGGGGAATTAAAACCTTGTTTTCCTGGTGAGTTTATGAATGGATCTATTAAGGCCAATTGAAACCTTCTTCCCTAGTCATTGAGAATACAGCCTGTGCTATGTTGATCTTTGGGGATGAAAAGAAATTGGCTGGTGAGTGCCACAGATAAAACAGATGTCTTGGAAGTTCTTAGAACCTCCTGTTAAGTGCCTCAAACATTGCACTGATTTTCCTTTCTCATGTTGGAGGAGAAAAAACAGTAAAATCCAGATCCTTTTCAGAATTTTGCAGCAGTATTTTTAAAATAGAATTCAGGTACTGGAAAACTGATTTGAGAATATCCAGGGAAAGCTGTGAGTGCTGTTGCTTTAAGATAGGGAAATTCAGCTCTGGTAATGATAATTACCTTTGTGTAAGACACTTGTTTTTGGATAATTCTGCACTGTCTGAGCAGATATTGTTTAGCAAGCTGTTCTAGACCATCATACTTCTTACCTTATCCCTTTCCTATGCCTCTGCTATCTGTCTTACAGTAACCCAAACCTGGAAAATTAATTTATCTTACTTAGTGGCATAGGAAGCTTTAGTATAGCTTTAGAAAATTCAGTCTAGGGAAGTTTGTTCTTCACTTCTTACTAACCTAAGGTAAATGTTGCCTGTGGTAGCAAAGAAAATTTCTGATTGTGTTTGGGACTGTTTGCTCAATACTAAGAAATCCTCTTAATCACCAGAAGATGAGAGAATGACATCATGAACAGTTAGAGCCAGCTGCCTCCTGTATAGGTTTTTTCCTAAGTAGGTTATGGCAATGGAAGTGCTGAGTCACAGGAAATAACACTAAAAATGTCTTATGAAGCTTTTTCTTGTTCAGCACTTGTAAATAAAATAGAAAGTTATTTTGTAAAGGAATTCAGTCACAAAATGATACAATGCAGCCATGATGTTTTTAGGTACCTTGTAAAGTCACCACAGATGATTAACAAAAAACTGTGTTAGGTTCGTTTTAGCAGGGCAAGGTTATTTCCATCCATTTTTCTCATCTGCTCACAACACAGCCCAGGATGTCATGGATGTCACTGAGTCATTTGCTGTGTGTAATGATGCAGATTTCTGCTGCAGTGTCCCCTCCTTCCTGGGAGCAGTGGGAGTGCACATGTTCAAAGCAGAACTGATTGCATCATAAAGACCTTGGGAATGTTTTTGGGGATACTTGAGAATCTCCCCCAATTCCCTTTCTGACAGTGTTTGTTTCAGTCAGTATGCTTTTGTGCTGTGTGCCTGCTGCTCAGAAGGCTGTGCAGGTGACTTCTTGAAGGATAACTTGCCCACATGCCCAGACAATTAATTAATAATGAAGATGCAATATTTGCTGGTATTATCTGCTTCCTCTTGGGTGTGTATATCAGAATAAGGTTACTGAAATGATAATCTGACCTCTGTATTTTCAAGGTTGGGATTCTGTAGACACTATTCTGCCTCATTAATCTCTCTATAAGGCTCATCCTAAAGTTGTCTTATCAGCTTGCTTAAATATTCTTATATCTTTAGAATATGCATAATCAGTTAACTTTTCAGGGCTGGGCTTTTGTTTGTCTATCTGACAGTGCTGATAGGACTGAAACATCAGCAGCTGCAGTTTTGTTGTAGCTGAAAGCATTGATTTGTGTTACAAATCCTGTACCCTCAATACCACAGAGAACATGCCTTGAGTACAGAATGGGAGCATCTTGGTGATAAGGGAGAAACATGGTAATTTGTATGGGAAATGTTTTAATAACACTTTTTCATAAATGTGGTGTTTAATAATTCAGGGTCATTTTAGAAGATTTTTTGCTACACACTGAAATAGTTACTTGTGCTTGTAAGGGACTGTAAACAGGGGGGAATACCATTCTAAGGGAATTAAGAGCATGTATTTTTAGAGGTGTTAAACTTTGTCTGGAGAGGATTATTTCCCCAGAAGCATCCTTCTGTCTCTTAGGCACACACACTGAACAACTGCAGCCTGAAAGTGAGCCAAGATATCTTGGGTGTCCAGGCAGAGGAATGTATGTGACTGTGCAGTGTAGCTGCAGCAGAAGTAGCTCACAGCATTTGTATTTCATTGATAGAGCATGAAATAAGTGGATCATGATATTAAGCAATGCTCTTGTAGTCCTACCTTATAGCCTTTAGAAATCAGGGACCACAATGTGGCTGTTGAGAGCAATACTCCCAATAATAACTAAATGGTGCCATTGCACAGGCCCTAGTTTTTGAGACTGGGTGAATATCAATCAGAGCCATTTCTCAGTGCACAGTCAGAGTTGCCTGATGCACTTGAACTCCAGCATTTATTTTAGTTTGACTTGATGTTTAGAGAGGAATAAACCAGTGGGAAGAAACCTGTCAGTTTGTCCAGCCCACCCATGGCAGGTGAGGTGCAGAGGAGCTTCTCTGGGGATGATGAGTTGATTCCTCCTCCATACTGAGCCCTTCCAGCACAGACAGCCCCCGAGGCCCTCCAGCCTCCCAGGAATACCCAGGAGTTCAATCCTAGCCTCCAGACAGGTAACTGGTCACAGCAATGTGTCACTGCAGAGTGGGAAGCTGTGCTCCAGGGTGTCATGTGCTGACTCATCCAATCTTTCTTTTTTCCCTTTTTTTTTTCCTATGAATTTTAGTTGGTTTAATTTTTTTCTGCTAGAGAGCTTTTCATTCTCACTGATTCACCATGTCATTGAATTACTCATAGCAGAGGGTTGCAGCTGGTTTAGAATTTCAGAGGAAGAAGGATGTGGGTTACTGAGAATCCCTGAGGGGCTCTGCAGATTGTTAAAATACAAAAAATGCACCCTGTAAAACTGAATGGTAATGTAGATCTGGGAATATTGGATGTAAGTAGGTCATTATCGTGTATTATCCTTTGCAGAGAAAATAACTATATGCTATTTTTGTCTTTGTATCAGAAAAAGGCAGTTATTTGGGAAATATCTTTGGAATATGTTATTTGAAATTCTGTGGATTATTTGAAATTCTGTGGATTACTAAGAAAATATATTTGAAGCAGTGTAATTGTGTATGAGTGAGCAGAGAAAAACTCTTAAAAATTAATTGGCAATATTGAAGTAGATTAAAATTTTGCACTTCTTTAAGTATAGTTTACATAATGCAATCTTGAATTATACAAGTTCACTTCAAGGATCTGGTAGTTTTTCTCTTCCCTTTTCCTGATATCTCTGGCAACATAATGAAGCAAATTATTGCTAGCAAACATATTGTGGCAATAGGAGCTGTCAGACAGGCTGGATGATGCTCTCCCTGCAGGACAGTTGCCAGGTTGACAGATTTAGCTTCAGATTTGCTTGATTACTCCCTTAAGCTTGCCTTAGTCTGCACAGGCTGCCCTGTCAGCACTCTCTACTGACTCTGGAATACATCCAGAACAGTTTCTCTTGTCCATGTGTTATCCATCAACAGACTGGGGAAAAAGGAGCCCACATTTAGGCCCTGAGGAAAACTTTTATTTTGTGTACCTCTCAACACTTCTCAAGGACCTCTTTAGTTTCACTTCATGTTCCTACTGGTATGTACATGCCATGTTTAACAGAGCCTTTAATGCCAAAGAGAAGCCTTGCTTACAGGAGAGTGTTCTGGAACATCTATTTCTGCACAATTGTTCTTTTGTGCCAAACCTGCACCTGCATTGCATTTCTATAGTGCAAAGACACACAGTCTGAATTTCTGTGTCATTAGAGCTCACAGTTCCTATGAAACCCCCGTGTTCCTTGGTTTCTGCTACTCAGTGATTAATTGAGGGGATGATTATGATTAATTGAGGGCAACTTTTCAACACTGAGTTTTGGTAAGGCTGGACAAAATTAATTTTGTTTGTGGTGTGGTTAGCCTTGTCATTGCCCAAATATGTTTGTGTTTATATTGAAACCAGCAAGACCATACCTTTTCAGTCTCTTGGAAGGAGGTATCACCTTGGTACCATCTAATGAGTTTAGAACATGTTTGAGATTGGCCAGAACTCAATTATTAATTATGTGCATATTCCTCAGCATAATTCATTGCCTGATGTTGGAGTAGCTGTAGGACACGTGCAGACACAGTGCAGGGGATGTTTGCATAGCTTTGAGTGGAGTCAGTGGAAGATTAGTAAATAAACAGTGTCTGTTCTGAAGCTTCTTGTCCATGGGAGATCTCAGTAAGGGTTCAAACCCAATTCTTTCCCCTTTTGTATTGTCATGAGCACAGGAGAAAGGTTCAGCTCTTCACCTTGGTTTGTATGAAGTGGTTTTGCTCTCTAGCAAATTCCTGGTGCTGCTTTAGGGTACATAAGTGCTTTGCATCTTTCAGTCATCTGAAATGATCTCTTGAGCACTGAAATTCACCTGTTGGACTGCTTCATTTTTAAAAGAACCTACAGCTAGCCTTGCAGAGGAGGAGAGAGGAATCTCTGTTCCTGGAGATTCACCCAACTGTGGAGCATACTGCTCTATTTGTATTGGTTTTGGGAGGTTTGAATGTCATGGTATCAGACACAATCTGTCTCTGTGTCTTGGCAAATCACTGAGATGATATAGAAAGGAAGTACCTGGCCAATCTACATTCCTTTTCCTTCAGTTGGATGACTTCCATTAGTTTTCCTTTTCCTTGTTTCAAGCAATTTGGTGTGTAGCTGTAACTCAGCTTTTCTAATGGAGGATTGTAGTTAAAAGCTGGATAATAGGAACAAAGTAAGATATCATTAAATATCTAAATGTTAGAACTTTGGTTCAAGTGAGCCAGAGACAATCCAAATCATGGCAACTGCTGTTACTTCTCTGCCTGCAGGAGTTTCCTGCTCAGGGGAGAGAAGGAAAACAATGTGCATGGTGGGTTGGTTTGTATCCCTGACCTCTCTGTAGCCTTTGCTCCAGGCATTGCAGCCACTCTGACCAAGTAGCCAGTTGTGTCTTTATCATTTAGGCAGCATTTTTTTGCCCCCCAGGGATCAGGAATCTTGGTTAGAGTTGGGCATGATGCAGGGAAAAGTATTTGGGAGAAAAAAATAAGGAAGGCATTGTGGGCTCTGTAGGTAGGAGGAGGAGCCTATTAAAGAAAGATGGGGAGAGCTTGCATTATGCTGCAGCAACTTTGACATCTTCTACTATCTGGATTTTCATATTTTATTTTTATGTAGCTCAAGAGCTTTAAAAAGAGCTTTTAAAAGAATAATCAAATAGCTTTAAAATTACTGCAGGGTATCAGTAAGCTTATAGTTTAAAAATTACTGCAGGGCTGTCAGTAGCAGCAGGTTCTGGATTGGGCTGGTTTCCTTTCACTGCATATTCCTGCATTTCAAGACAAATTGACAAGGTATATAAACTTTATATTACATAATTAGAAACTTTGATAATTTTCTCATTCATTTGGTCATAGAGAATATTTTTTTTTTGTATAATCAACCCTTTAATGTGGGTACTGCACCTTTAATGAACATTTACATGTTTTGTTTTCAGTGTTCTTTTCATTGTGCTCATATTTTGAGAATCACATCTATTTGTTAGTGAAACTGGAAAAGCAATTGTGACATTGCTATTCATATCTTTCTCTTAATCTCATTTCTATTTTATTTTGACAAAAATGTTTTGCTTTAATTAAACTTAACTTCTGTGATCTTAAAAATTTATTAATAGATTGAGAAATCTTTGTTAATATGTTTTGTTGTCTCAGAATGTTTGCAATAACTGGGCTAAGTAATTTGAATTGTAGGTTAACTGTTGGCCATTTAAAGTTTCATTTTCATTTGTGTAAAGACTAAATAGAAAGCAAAGTGGTTTAAAAATTAAAGTGGTTTAAAATACTCAGTTCTTGAGAAAATCTGGTAGAGAATATATTATTGTAAATTGAAATCTGTTAATATTAGAGCATAACTTAGGATTCCACCTGCACTCACAAAGTGCCTGTTCTCTGTGGGATCCTGAGTGTTAAAGCATCACTAAAATGCAGCATGTAAGAAAATGGGGAATCTGGGATGCTCCCAATAAATGATATAGATGTTTAATGTGAATTTTTGCTTCATAGTGACTTCATTACAGCTGAAGGAGGAGCTGCTGGATGGGGAGGAGTACAGCTTCCTGCAGGGAACCTCTGACCAGGAGAGCAACGGCTCTGCCAGCTACTACATCAAACAGGAGCCCTGAGGCAGCTGCAGGAGCAAGGGGCACAGCATTGGTGATAGGAAAAGAACCTTTCTCCAACACTGACTGATTCTATTCCCACTTGGATGGTGCAGTTCAGGTGACTGTGCCTGGGGTGCTTTGCTAAATGTAGATGAATTAGACTCAGTCCAGAATTTTTTGGAAGGGCGGGGAAACTATTTTAGTGAAAAAGATTTTTCAATTTATTAAAAACAAAAAACAAAGGACACTTTTGTGTTGTATTTGAAGCTTTTGAAAGAATTTTGTAATATTTTCAAGTTCAGATTTATTGTGCATTGTTAACAAGAACTGAAATTCTAATTTTTTTGTAAGATTAAAGTTTATTCAGCATGATTGTGGGAAGCAGTTGGAGGAAGATATAGTTGCAAATACAAACGAACTGTCATAGCAAATGAACCTTTTTGGTACAAGTTGGGAGACTGTTAGACTCTTGTGAACTGCACTGGTCATGCCTCTGGTTTTTTAATTGTGAAAATAAGGCTTTAAAGCCCTGATTTAAAGGCATAAATTATATACGGAAGACAGTCCTGTAAAGCTCTACTCAGTGAGTAGCCCCAAGTGCAACGGAGCCATCGCCTGAGGAAGATTTTAACTTTTCAAGGTGTTTTTATTTAGTTTCAAAGACCCTTTTTTTGTATAAGGTTTTTGTTTTTTTAACGTTCTTTAGGGTCTGATTCAGTGCCCATGAATATCAGTAGCCTTGTCTCTGCCGACTGCAGTGGGCATTGGATGGGCTCTATAAAGCTCTTGTCTGTATATGAATGTCTGTAGTCATGGAATGCTTCAGCAAATGTTTACAGAGCCCTATGCCAAACTGGAACTTCAGAAAATTCTCTCATTGGAAGATTAGTTGTAGCTCTGAATTTTGACTGAAGAAGCAGCTTAGATGGACAGTCACTAAGGATTCCCTTGGTAGTGGGAAGGAACTTGTGAGTATTCTTATGATTTTTTTTTTTTTTCCATTCAGAAAGCCTTTAATGTTTCTTTACCATCTTAAGTATTTATCTCTGGTCGTTCAGAACTGATGTGCCACATGGTTTCAGGAGATCTGAAAGAAGCCCTACATTGTGGGTTAAAAATTAGTTCAGTCCTGCATAGCCTAGTGTAACATGGGACTTGAGAACAGTATCAAAATCACATGGTTTTAGTCTGTAATTCATAAATTGGATTTGCCTATTGCCTGGAATTCTTGTCTCATGTCAAGCATCCCACTGGCCCCAACTGGTCAACTTCCAGATTTTTACAAGGCAAAAGTCACTTAAAAGGGTGAAAATCACGACCATTTAAACACAAAGTATTTTTGCAGGAGCTCTTCATAATTTGGGTTTTATCTTTCCATATTTTTAACTTTTGTACATTTTTTAAATGGAGTTGGTGAGGTAGTTGATCAGCCCTGCAGAGCTGTGACTGGAAGATTGTGTATCAAGAGCTTTAGCTTTTACCAGTAAGGTTCATTAACTAAACTCTCAGGAATTATAAGTTCTATAAGTGCTTCTGGGTCTTCACAGGTCCCCTTCAGAGCAGTACAATGATCATCTGACTCTTGACCATAAATTAGGGCTTAAAAAAATTGATCAAAAATTACTAAGATTTGTATCCTACAGCCTAAGGAAATGCTTTAAGGATATCAACCCACAGAGCCCCGGGAGACCATTTTTTGTATATTGTTGTTTGAGCTAAAAAAAAAAAAAGTGCATAGAAAGTTGAAAACCAGCAATTTGATTATTTTCTAAAATATTGCTCCAACTTTAGGTACATAGTATTGGTAATATACACAGGTTTACCTCATTCTATGCAAGAGGGATTAATTATGTAAAGTTTTGTATTTACTACTGGAAGTAAAACGTGCTGTATAGTGTAGGAATGTCTGGAATTCATTTCTCCCTTACTGGTAAAATTTCTTACATAATGGCCTGGTTTTAACAACAGCTTCTTCTATTGACAGAATCTGTTACTCTGATTACAAGAATCTATAACTTCAGATGGTAAAGACATTTTAGCTCCCTAAAATAGCCATAAAAAGGACTTTGTTGGACCTGGTAGTCTTCAACAGCTTATCTCAGATTCTGACCCACCCATGATGTTTATTTTGAACAGCCTATATTGGAGAACTAGGATTAGAGACCATTGTAGTGACACTTTGAGCCTTGATTGTTTTCCTGTGTTCTCAATTTAATCTGCTGTAAAATCCAGCTCTGCAAGCATTGATTTCATTTGGTAAGTATAGCACTATTGATATATTTTTTTTTTTTAATGCAACAACTTGCAGGTTGTCCTATCAGCTGGAACAAGGTTCTCAGAGTCTTGCTTTCTTCTCTCATCAACAGCTTCTGACTTCAGTAGAAAAACTGTTGCATTAATTAGTGTGCCATAATGTAGATGGTCGGGCTAGTTAATGAGTGAGGTGCATTGCCCAGTCACTAAACTGAATATTGCCCAGGCTCATCCCTGATTTTAGAGTCAGTCTTTAAATGTCAAGAGGGAAAATTAGTCTTAATATACTTCCTGTGCTGGGAGAAATGTAAGAATCTGTTCTAAAGTCTGTCAGTCTTTAAAATATTCTGTTATTCATCAAACACTAAAGTCTGTGAGGTGATGTATGTTCTCGGGTACCCATGTGACTTGAGCAGTTGGTGAAATGCCTTTTGTGTCTCTGAGTTCATAACATGCCTCAGTTGTGTAACTGTCAGGAGCAGCGACACCTGTGCTGAGCAAACCGTGGAAGAGCTGCTGGAAGTCCTGGGCTGAGGAGCAGCTCGGGAGAACCTGCAGGTGCTGCCGGGGCTGTGAGCCCCAGGGACCCGAGGGCTGTTCCTGCGGCAGCTCCCTGGCTTTGCAAAGCTTCCCGTGGCTCTGGGATGCTTCTCTTGGCTCTCAAGCTGTGGTACCTGCCTGAGAGAGCAGCAAATGTTGGACACCTAAAACCTTCAGTGGGGTTGGACTAATTCTGGCATTTGGCACAGCAGGTTTTCCTGACCATGAGGCAGCCCAAGCCCTGTCCTGACTTGGCTGCTGCCTCTTTTCTTGTTCCAGATCTCTCTGCTGATCTTTATTACATTATTTTCAGTAGAACTCTCTTAACCTGTTCCTTGCTGCATCTGAGGAAAGCTACAGCAGTTATTGATTCCTTGTTCTACAGATACTAACACGGGTTTCAGTGTTTGTTTTGGGTTTTTTATTGTTGTTTTCTGTGATGTGAATACCCTCCCTTGATCTTTGTACGATGGTGCTAATACATTTGGTAACAATCCTTTACTGGGAAGGGATTTTTTAAAACTGTGATTTCAGATGAATTTTTCTTCCTTTTGATTTTTTTTTTTCATATTTAAAATGAAAAGCCACAACCATTTATACAAAAAAGGCATCAGCTTTGGCCCCTAGAAAAATGTTGGGGCAGGAATCAAGAATAAACAAATGGGTTTTTACATAATTTCTGTATGTATTTGATATATAGATCAATATCTGTACAAATTTAATCTTTTATTTTCTTGGTAATTTGTGTGGTCAGTGAGAGAGTATTTAAAGCTTTCTCATGCAATGTACATAACTCAGTGAAAAAATGCTTTTGGAAAAATTAATGTTACTTTCATTTTTACAAGACTGCAGATTTTCAGCATGGATGTGAAAAGCATTAAAATCATAACTTTGTGTACAAGATGAAAATAATTCACTAAATTTGCCTTTTTTACACAAAATAAAAATGATTAAAAGTCTTTTTCTGAATAGTGATCGTTTTGCTTAAAACACTCTTAACCCTATTAAAAATGCCCACAATCTGTAAAAACGTGAGTATTTTACAGAATTTTAAAGTATGTTGGTGTGACAAATGGTATAGGACCCTGAGCACAAAGTAAGGGGTTAGATAAGAAAAGGTGAATTAAATAAGTGTTTCAGAGAGCAAGCTTTGCACTCAGTCTCATTTCATTTAGTGTTAATGTTTGTGTAAGGAAGAAAATTTTGTGGTATCCCTTTTTCCCCTCTAGCTGCCTTGGAAGTAGCTCTTCCCTCCCTTCAGCTCTCCCTCTGCAAATTTGCCACTGCTTGAGTCCAACAGCTGTGGCAGGGTCACCTGTCAGTGGCTCCTGAATGACTAAAATGAATTTATGAGTATTTGAACAGGGGTCTATTGTAAGTGAATGCACTACAAGGAAGTAGTTCACACCCATTTATTTGACAGTCACTTTGAGCACTAAGGTAACTGTGCTTGCTCCCAGGGCAGCAGCTGGAATGAGATGAGGTGTTGGAAGGCACAAATCACTGTGGGAACCCATCACTCATAGATCCAGTCGTGTGCACAGGGCTTGAAGTCGATGAGCTCTGCGGGTTTGAACCACAGGTTGATCTCCTTCTGTGCACTCTCCACAGAGTCGCTGCCGTGGATGATGTTCCTGTGGAAGGAGACAAACATTGATCCCTATAAAAATACGCTTCCAGCAGCCTTGTTCTCCATTTGCAAAAACGTGGATGAAGCATCTAGAGAGGGAGACTAAGTTGTTATTTCAGGTAGTGTTCCAATACCCTCACCCCTCCAAGAGCTAATTATGCCTACCAGGGTCACTCTACTGTTCTACAACAGCTGCTGGCAGAGCTTACATGCTGCTCTGGGGAGGAGCTGGACTGCAAACAAAGTCAGCTTTGTACCACTTTCCTAAGCAGCAGGTATGCACTGTGACCTGCAAATGAAATACCATCAGACTGAGGTCTCTACCACCAATTTTGGCTTTTTGTGTTGGCAGGTAAATAGTGAGTAGGAGTTGTTGAGTTTTTAGTATCAATTAACAGACTTGAGTACAAACCTTCCCACTTGAATGCAGAAATCACCACGGATGGTGCCAGGCTTGGAGTCTGCAGGGTTGGTTTCCCCTAGCATGACTCTCCCAGTTTTAACCACGTTGAGTCCTTCCCATACCTTAAGATAAAAAACACAAACATTCTCTTCAGCCATGCTTATGCAAAATACTGACAATTCATATTTGCTCTACCATATTTTGCAAAGAAACAAAGGCTCTACCATTAAAGATAATAACCTTGCCTATATTATCTCTTGGGCTTGTACAGGTGACAGGGGAAAAAAATAACTGGAAGTAATTGTAAAAAGGACTATCAACATTCTTACTGGAGTGAAGGAGATACTTTACCAAGCCTCAGAGTTGATGTACAAAGCCAACTCCCAACCCTTTGTGTTGTGGTAGAACGAGGACACCCTGCTGAGTGTTCTCTCCTAGTTCATTATCACAACAGGAGATGCTACTAGAACACAAACCTTGTTTTGAGGGAATGTAAAAATTAGTGACACACAAGTTAGGTTTTTGTGTCAGAGAGCCTGACCTTTTTTTGCCCAAAACAGATTTTTTGGTGCAGAAGATTGGCTTTCAGGAATTTTGCTTTATAAATTTATATATTAGGTATTTTAATACCCATTTTATATGTGCACTTTGCTTATTATATTGTAATTTCACTGTCTTAATTTTAATTAAGTTTTTCTTTTGCCACTTTTGGAATTAGGTAGTTTGCAGAGTATCTCTGAATATTCTTAATAATTTACAGAGCAAAACGAATATATTCAAGAAAGTAATCTTAAATGAAAATCAACTTACCATGGCCACAATAGGTCCAGAGTTCATGTATTTAACCAAACCAGGGAAGAAGGGGCGGTCTTTCAGGTCAATGTAATGTTGTTTGAGAAGGTCTTCAGAGGCCTTTAAAAGGACAGATGTAACTTTAAATATAATTTTCTTAATATTGAACAAAAATTTTTACAGGTGTAAGACTGTGGTGTTAGTGATTAGATTCACTAATAATGTTACCAACAATGCTGCAGCGCTATTGTGGCTATCAGTGGGAGCTCCTGCTGTAGCATTAAAGGAGTTCTTTGTGGCTGTGCTGGGGATTGTCAATATGATTTCTTGGCACGGCAGTGAGCCTCTGCGATAAGCAGAGCTCAGGATCCCAACACAGCCTTTCAGCCAAGGCCATTCCAGCTCCCAATCGGGCTGCATTAAACCTCTGAAGAAGATTCGGTGCTTTCGGAGAGAAGCCACGCGGGCAGGAAGGAGGGCCCGAGGCGCTCGGGCACATGCGCCCATCGGCTCCGGCTGCGCCGCAGGAGGCGCGGCGGCGATCCGCGCCGGGACGGGGCTGGGGGCGCGGCGGGGGCACTCACGTGTACGAACTTCATGGCCACGAGCCGGAACCCCTTCTGCTCGAAGCGCTTGATGATCTCCCCGACCAGCCCGCGCTGGACGCCGTCGGGCTTGATGGCGATGAAGGTGCGCTCGCCGCTCCCCGCCATGGCGCTGCGGGCGGCAGCGCCGTCAGCGGGACGCGCGGCCTCAAGGTCGGCGGCGGCCACGGCGGCACCGCCCTGCCGCGCGGCACCGCCGCGGACCGTCCCCGGCCCCACGAGCCCGGCCCGGCCCCACCGAGCCCCTCCGCCCGCGCCCCGGAGCGCCCGGCCCGGCCTCACCTGCCCGGAGCCGCCGCCGCTGCCGCCCGCGCCGCCGCCGCCGCAGGAAGGGCCGGGGGAGGCGGGCGCGCCGCGCAGCCCCCGCCCCGCGCAGAGGCGGAGCCGCCGGGCCGGCGGCGCTTCGGGGGCGGCACCGCCAGCGCCGGGCGGGACCGGGCCGCGGTCGGACCGCGCCGAGCCGAGCCGAGCCGAGCCGAGCCGAGCCGAGCCGAGCCGAGCCGAGCCGCGGTCGGACCGCGCCGAGCCGAGCCGAGCCGAGCCGCGGTCGCGCCGAGCCGAGCCGAGCCGAGCCGAGCCGGGCCGCGGTCGGGCCGAGCCGAGCCGAGCCGAGCCGCGGTCGCACCGCGCCGGGCGGAACCGGGCCGCGGTCGCGCCGAGCCAGCCGAGCCGAGCCGCGGTCGCGCCGAGCCGAGCCGAGCCGAGCCGCGGTCGGACCGCGCCGAGCGGAACCGGGCCGCGGTCGCACCGCGCCGGGCGGGACCGGGCCGCGGTCGCACCGCGCCGAGCCGAGCCGAGCCGAGCCGAGCCGAGCCGCGGTCGCACCGCGCCGGGCGGGACCGGGCCGCGGTCGGACCGCGCCGAGCGGGACCGGGCCGCTGTCGCACCGCGCCGCACCGCGCCGAGCCGAGCCGAGCCGAGCCGAGCCGAGCCGCGGTCGCACCGCGCCGAGCCGAGCCGCAGGGAGCGGCCGCTGCCGGGCCCCGCGGCCGAGCGGCGGCTCTCGGCCAGGCCCGGCCGCACCTGTCGCCTCCGCCTCCTCGAGGTTATTTACAGACGCAGCAACTGTAGCTTGAGCCTGTAATGCACTGGAACGACGGCGGATGCCTAAAACAACTAAGTAATTTTTTACACAACTAAATATTTTTTCAGGATTTTTTTGCTGGGTTGGCTGGTCTCAGCTATCCCCGCGGCCTGAATGTTGGTCCTGTCAACCGGGCTGCAGCGCACAGCACGGCCACAGCTCCTCGGAAGAATATTTATCACAGAAAAGCGATGTGGAATCTGTAACACAGGAACATCATTGGTAATTTTATCGGGAAGATGAAGCCGCCGAGTGTCAAAACCGCACAGTCCCTGAAGCCGTGTCACAACATTAAGCAGGGAGTGTGTTGTTGCTTTTTATGATGTTTACTAATTGGCCCTTTCCTAGTTGATAAAGCACTTTTGCCTGTGCAAGTTATAATCACACACCATCACTGCAGTTGAACATCAGTGAAAGAAGTTCTGTAGTCCTTGCGTTGTCTCTTATTGAGGGGCCAGTTAGTGTTTTCTCAGGGTCAGTTAGTGGTTTCCACTGGACCTGCTCAGGCACCTCAGCCACGCAGGAATGCTGGCCTCCATCTCTTCCCAGTCACATCGCATTAGAAACACTAATCAGCAGTTTCCTGACAGCCCCAATACCTCCAGATAAACCACATTTCTTTATTTTGCAGAACTGAGACATCTCAAGTAACGTTCCAAGCAAAGATTAAACTGCAGACTACTCATCTCATGCTTAGGTTTGTCACATAGTCCCTTTCCTCCAGCTTCTTTTAACCTAATGATTTATCTTCTGTAACACTGAATATTTTCAGAAGAGAAGCTCACAGCCTCACCTACAGCTTCATAGTTAGAAAATTTGTTCCCCCTCCTTATAATAATGAATTAAATATAAGACAAAATATTTTAAATTTTATTTTATTTCCCTTAAGAAGCAGCAAATATTGTTTTATTTTGTGCCATCTCTTTTTAGGAGCTCAATACCACCATAAGGTATCATAAGCTTTCAACTTTCACTGCATAGTTCAGTATTCAGATGCAAGAACTCACTGTGTGGGAAGAAAAATCTTAGAGCTTGAGCAACCGATTTCATTAAACTCTTGCTCTTAGTGAATAAAATGTTGCAGGGAAATAAATACATAATATCAATCCATACTTCCTCATCCAGTACATCCAGTTTTTGCTGTTGAAACTGAAACACCTTCTTCATTGTTATGACTTCTTTACATCATTAAATAAATACAAAATGATAGTGATAAAGTCACTTCTGAAACAACTTATCCAAGGACCATTTGCTTTGTAGTTCCAGCTACTGAGGAAACAACAGTAATGAGAACACAACTAAACTATCAGCTGTTCAGCTGGCAGAGCAAACACCACTTATTGCTCTGTGCAGTATCAGAGAGCTGCTGCACTGAAGTGGCTAAAGGTAGAATCTCCCTCATCCATCCTCACATTAATCTTCTTTTCACATAAAAGGACATTTCATCAAGCCTGGCTGGTTAATCTGTCCTTAAAATACTACATAAATCCCATGTGGAAGGAAAAAAAAGCGAGTTGAAACAGTGTCAGTGTGGAGGCCAGTTGTCATTTTAGCCAGAGTTGAATTCTTTATGGGCACAGCATGTTCTGGGGAGAGAAATGGGCTTTTTTCTGCAGCTGTTTTAGGAATGGGGACACACTTGATATTAAGTAAATCCTCAACATTTGAGCATATTATCAATGCATTTACACACCATTAGTTGTCCTCTAATGTTTTAGAAAAGTTAACCTCTGACTCTGAGCCATTTGTGTATTTATTTACCAAATAAATTTTTACCCATTTTTTTTTTGTTTCCCAAAACATTCTCTGTGACTATCAAATGCTTCAGAAAAATATATGTTATCTGTTCTGTTTTCATCTCATATTTCTCAATCCCGGAAGCAGCTTTTAAAATGTGCAATTCATCTATAGTTTGACAGCTTTTAAATCAAAGGAGCAGCAAGCACCGACTCTATTTAATGTCCACAACAGAGCAAACTCACTGTATTCTGAGGTTTCTACCAGGGAATTCTTTGGAATAGCTAGAGGCTGGCAGCTGCTTGTGGACATGGGAATATCAGAAGATCCAGTCTGGGTGTTAATCATAGATCCACTCATGAGCACAGCTTCTATAATCAACCAGTTCTTCAGGAGTGAACCATAAATTGATCTCTGTCTCAGCACTTTCCACAGAATCACTGCCATGAATGATGTTCCTAGGAAAAGAAAAGGTGAATAAAAGAGTAAAGGAATTCTTAAAGTAAAGTAAGCTTCTTGTTTTGAAGTAATTCCTAATATGGACAGAAGCTTTAAGTAACAATAAAGTAGGAAAAGACACAGCATAGGCAGTGCCAGCTTTGCTTATTTTTGTCAATGGGAACAACTATTATTTGATCCCCATCCTTAGATACTAATATGTCATGGGCACAGGGAATGGCAGCTCCATGTGTAAGACAGAGAAGGATGGAGCACAGTTCCTGTAGATATCATGACATAACACTTGGCATTTAGTGCTTTTGGATGATACCAAATGTTTTAAAATTTACTTTCCAACTTGGACACAGAAGTCCCCACGAATAGTGCCAGGCTTGGAATCGAATGGATTGGTTTCCCCCAGCATCATTCTTCCAGTCTTAATCACATTAAGACCTTCCCACACCTTAAAGAAAAAAAAAAATCCATTCAGATTATTAAATTTAGCAGCAGATAACTTATACAATCCATGAGAACACAGGGCTCTCCATCATGGCACAAATCACCATCTGAACATTTATCACAGTGAGAGAAATTTCTCTTAAATTATTCTGTCAGATTCTTGAAGCATCTGCTCACATGGTCCCCTTCTATTCAGTACCCCTCCTCACCTAGGGTGGGGAAGAGAACAATTTTCCATCTCAGTTTGTCAGTCTCACAGAGCTGTCTGCTCATGGGAAAGCTTGGCCTCAACTATTTTACAAATACATTATCAAGGAGAAAAAGAGAGCTAAAGCTTAAATGTTGCACCATCCTTTTTCAGCTTCTTTAATACATGACATTTCAGGATGGGACTTTTGTGCAGGTTTACTGTTTCTCAAGGTCCTGGTTGTGATTCCTTTCTTCCCCTGCCCTCTTCTTCAAAAAACTGACTCAGAGGAGAGAAAGATTATGAGAAACGATTAAAGAAAAATATTCAACAGCACATCTTCCTAATCACAGTATTTGAATCCAGATTTTAAAATCCTTTAAAAAATAAACTAGCATTCAACAGGTGACACAATCTCATTGCAGGGAAGATAATCAAGCAGTGTGGTTTTCCTTGCCAGCAACTCACCATGGCTACGATAGGTCCCGAGTGCATGTACTGCACCAGGCCATCGTAGAATGGCCGGTCCTTGAGGTCGATGTAGTGTTCCCTCAGAAGGTCCTCAGAGGCCTGGTTTAAAAACCAGACAGACAGAGAAGAAAGCTTACAGTAAGAGCTTAGTGAAATCACAGAGATAAACCACAGAGCACTGGTAATGCTGGAACTTGCATGCACTTAAAAATTCAGTATTTCTAGCACCTTCCTAGGAGTACTTTTGGTTGATATGAATTTTAACTGTTTGCTTAACCACAACTAACTTAGAAAAGTTTTTGTTGACAATACAGGCAGTTTATGTGACCTGGGATTTGTGAGAGATACTCAAAGATATTTATTTGGCATAGGATGCACCTGAAAGAATACTCTCCTCAGACTAAGGGCATCAGGTTACTAAAATTAGTCTGCTTAGCATGTCTAAAGCATTTAGCCAGAGCTGGGAATTGGAACTTTTCCAAAAACATCCCAAGTACAACTTTTCAAAATTTCAGTTTTAAATGTTACAGAGGCCACATTTGTTGTTGTAGGATGGTGCTGTATTTGAAGGCTACAGCTTTCAAATATAAAAAAGCAGACACAGCAATTGAGGAGAGCTTACATGTATTAATTTCATGGCTACCAGTTTGAATCCTTTCTTCTCGAAGCGTTTGATGATCTCCCCCACCAGCCCCCTCTGGACCCCGTCGGGCTTGATGGCAATGAAGGTGCGCTCATCTATGGCAGCCATGATCCTGAGGAGGGAGAGAATAAAATTTGTTATTCCAGGACTGTGCAATCCCAGCCCATCCCAGCCCTGTCTGCTATAAGTGTGATTAGATTTCCTGCATCTGAGGGTCAGTAATCCATGGTCTCCAATGTTTGGACAAACCAGCGACCGCACACAGGTTTTCCTGCAGGGCTGAGTTTGAAGCAGTGGAAGGGTGCCAAGTGCAGGAACAATCAGCAAATACTGAAATCAGAAAAACTTTGAATGGAAAGGAAGGTAATGATCACCACGGATCCGTCTTCCAGTGCCGTGCAATAAATTAATAAATCAGTACGCACACAGAGTTTTCACCTGGAAACCAGCAGGACCAGAGGGGCTCCGAGCCCCGCGCTGGAGCACACCTGAATGGGCAGGTGAGGGATGCAGGGGCTGCGGGGAGGCTCCGCGGGGGTGCGGTGACACTGCCCGGGGGCAGGGGGACCCTTCCCGCGGCCCCGCAACTCGGCTTACCCACAGGTGGCCCGGTGGCTGTGGCAAGCGGTGTCCCCCGCTGGTGGCGAGCGTGGCAGCCCGGACACTCCGCTGCGCCCCGGCTGTGTCTCGCAGCCCGCGTCCGCCGCTGTTCCACCGGTGGCTCTGTCAAGCCGTGTCACCGCGGGTTCTCACCCGGTTTAGCCGTGCCCCCCCCGCACGGCGGCTGCCGCAGTGTCCCGCCCGCACAGGGCACCGC